GTTTTTCAGTTTCAGTTTCAATATGATAATGGAATGGTGCCCCCACCTACGTTAACGGTTTACGCTGACGGGGCACCAGTGGTCCTATCAATTAGCTCATTGTGATAAATTCACCAAGAATTTATCACGATGATGAGGTCAGGTCAATTAGCACATCGTGACAAATTGACCAAGAATTTATCACGATGGTTTTCAGGGGGAACTGCGTGGAGGTCTGACAAAGTAAATTGCTAGCAATGAGATCATCAGTCCACATTACTAACAACTCCCTCCCCCTTTCAGCTAGATTGCTAGCTTTACTAAGCACGAGGATGCATGTCAGATGCTCAGAAATGATATCTTGTTTAATACAATATAGTAACATCTGAGGCGAAGGGGATTTCAGTAATGTGGACTAACAATCTCATTGCTAGCAATGTACCATGTCAAGTTGACCTCCACGTGGTTTGATAGCTTCCTGGAAACCATCTTAATAAATAAATTCATAGTGAATTTAGTTACGATAAAATCTAATGTATTTATATCAGTTGTCTAGTACCCGTGACTCATGCTCTGATTACTTGGGACTAGATGGCGCTGTGTGATTTCTAGCTGTTGAGACTACCTTTGAGAAGTTGTTTAGCTGGTGGCACATGGAGTCGATACCGAGTGCATACTCCTTGTTGCGCATGTCAGTCTCCAGCTCGTGCTGCGTGGCGCGACAGTTCTTCGACTGCTGGCGCACCTACAGCACACAACTGGTTCATTATATAAACCACCCTTTAAGTAGTTCATTTCAAACGTTCTTGTTTAATATACATCGTACTGTTTCGCGGTGGTTATCACCTCACCACTGTAGCGTTATGACTTTACACTGAACATCTATGTTATCTGGAGAGGTAAACTAATGGACGGGTGCCGAGTGTTGACAGAAATATTACAAGTGTAGGCACAGTACTCTTACTAATTTCATAAAGAAATTTGTGAATGTGGATAGATGAATGGATGGATGTTTGTTACTCTTTCACGCACAAACTACTGAATAAATTTTAATGGAACTTCACAATAATATAGCTTATACATCAGAATAACAAATAGGCTAAAAATTACAGCTACATATAGTAGCTAGATATTTATATTGTTAATCGGGTTTTAACATTTCGAAATGGAAATGTAAAGTTACAATGATTATTTAAAAGAGCAACACACAAGTTCCTTGCTCGTTCTTCTTGTGATGCGACAGCTGTTCGAATGAGCGGTAAATTATAAGAATGATAGCTATGACTATTCAAAAGTGCTTAAATTGAAGTGTATTTTAATAAAGAAATTTCTGTTCTACTGCATTTAAAATAACTAAATCTGTAACTTTACCTTCTCAAGCATGTTCCTGAACTTATCTTGGCACTCCCGCAATATGGCGACCTCCTTTAGAAGCGATTGCTCCACTGCATCATGTACTTGCTCCAAACCTGATCATTCAATACATCTCCTTATAATTTATGTATGTATTTGACTGAAGGCCGTGGTTAGGTTTGACATACTACTTTTGTTTCCGATGGCCACAGGTTCAATATCCATACAAACTTAAAATGGCTTTAAAAAAAGTAATTCAATTGATTTTCTTGGCAGTTCTTCTCAATTGGATCTGTATACTGAACTGGACGGTAGGGCAATAATTATAATATAAAAAATTTGATGTTCATAAGCGGCTGAAATGTCCTACTGGCTAAAACAGCCGCTTATAAACGTCAAATTTCATGTATTAATATTTTTCCCTACCTTCCAGTTCAGTATACAGATTCAATTGAGAAGAACTGGCAAGAAACTCATTTGAATTACTTTTTTTTTCGTCAGTTTATATTTATATTTTTTTATTAGTCAGTTTATTTACATTTACTTACACAGATGTATTAATCTTATTAATATTATAAATACGGAAATTTGTAAGTATACATGTTTATTATTCTTTCACGCAAAAACTACTGAACGGATTTTGAAGTAATATAGCTTATGCATCAGAATAACACATAGGCTATATCTTTTCTTGAAATTTAAGACATAGCTAGTAATTCATAATTGGTCCATACCCTGCCTCTTCTCTCTGTGATAGAGGCACTCCTGCACTATATGGAGGGGTCCTTCGATGCCAGCGATGGCTCGCTCCAGCTGCCGTCGCGTATCATTCAACTTCTCACATGTCGCCACCAAGCGCTCCATTTCAATGGAGACCTAACAATAAATATGAGGGAGAGAGGATTATTAATGTGCTAGTGTCTCGCTCGCTCTCACGATTCTCTCGATCGCCGCCTTATTATGAAAAAATTATTTTGACGTCGAAATCGTCTTATTTCGTCGTCAAAATTGACGTCTGCATTTTTATGTCACATAATATTATATTCACAAAATGAACTATTTATAAAAAAGTCGTTGTTTCCAACGATCAAGCATATCAGTATCCCCTCCGATCGATACCCCGTCCAGTTCAAACGGGGATCGAAATTACAACGGCCTGAGCCGAACTTCGAACCGCTAACGATGCTCTCAGACTAAAGTCGTATCCATCAGACGGGAGTTGGCCTTCAGCCGCTCCATAAGTCCTTCCTTTGGTTTGGAGTGCCATCTGCACTCGCCCCCTATCGTCCGGTGAAGCTGTAAAGACCAGCTGCGGCAATCAGGATTAGAAGTCCGAAAAAAATTATTGGTAGTTTGATAACAATATTTTAATGGATAATGGATGATGATAGTGCACTAGTCTTGGCTAATGATTTACTCTGGCGGTGTACCTTATGTTTATTTCTCACCTATGGTCGAGCGCAGTGATGGCTGGCTCATCCGTCATACTCGTGAACGAGTGCTGCTTGTAGGGACTGGTCTGCTCTTATCACTACGACTGATTTAATCTTATTGTGTTTTTACATTTGAGCCTAAATAAATTAGTGCTGGTTGGTAGTTTGTATTCACACGTTTCGACTTGTAAAATGTGAACTTACAAGGATTGTTTAAAAGAGCAACACACAAGTTTCTTGCATATTCTTCTTGTGATGAGATAGCTTTCCGAATAAGCGGTAGATTTAAAAAAATGTTAATTATTCAAAAGTGCTTAAATTAAGTTTATTTGAATAAATGATTTTCTATTTCTATTTCTATTACCTCATTTCTCCAGAACGTGGTGTCGGTTATGCGTTCTCCAATTCTCCGGCCCGAGTCCCGCTGACCTTGTGTGCCGATTTCGTCTGTTTCCCTGATTTATGTGATGCAATTAAATGAAGTGTATTTATAACTGGGACTAGCAGTACCATTGTTTGTCATTTGAGTATCACGTCTGGTCGACCTCCACGCGGTTTGTTGTTAATAGAATTTTATTAAAAAAAAGGTTCCCTAAAACTCGTCATGCTCGTGAACGGGTCCTGCTTGTAGGAGCTGGTCTGCTCTGATAAGTAGGACTGATTTATTTTGTTAGTCAACTATTTATTTATTTATTTGAATAGGTGAGTATCTAACAAAATAAATTATATCTAAAATAGTAACACGCGTGGTTCTTGCTGATTGTTCTTGTGATGTTGAGCGTTCCGAATAAGTGGTGGAACAAAAAAATATGACTATTCAAAAGTGCTCATATTAGGTTTTTTTTTAATAAAGATTATTTATATTTCTTATCCCTTGATTTATTTAATTTCAAATTCTAATCATACATCATATTAGGTATATAAAAAACACTCACCTAAGCATTCTCATGATATCATTTCTGACGCGCTCGGAGAAGTTTCTCTTAGCGTCGGATTCGTTGTAGTTCTTGATGCTGTTCTGATTCCACTCGTACTGCGTGTATCTGGTGTACAGAGCAGCCCGCGCCGCGTGCTCCGGGCTGCGGTCGAACCCCGTCACCAGATTCGGAAAGCGGAGTGGCTCCGCTGCCATGCCAGCGGGGGTATAGCACGGATCTACCATCGTGTTTGTTATCGGTTGGGATGGCCTTAGGATAATTAAATAAAAAATATTACTACATATGTGTCTATGGTTACATTTAGTTTTAAGTGCTATAGTTAGGAGCTTACATTCAGATTAGCCGTATGCCTATTATTTGTTTGCGCAACAATTATTTTATAAAATTTTGTTAATCAGTTTTTATTTAGATAAAATTATCATTAATAAATTATCAACAAACGCACTTAGGCCTTTGCTCTATGGTCAGATGTCCGCCATTTTCCCGTGGTCATTTTATATGACGGCATCAGTGATCTAGTGATTTAGCAGTTAGCACACTCGACTCTATCGGTGAAGCAGCAAAGACCGCGACCAACATCATTTTTTTTTTTTTTTATTTATTTTATTTGTTTCACTGACATTATTATTATTATTTTTTTATTAACATGTATTGACTTCAGCTGCGATTTGATACAGCAGAAGTTTTCGTAGGGCTAGTTGTGTTTCACTAGGTGTTTATCATATATATTTATATAGATGACACACATACATATTTACATTATTTATATAATAAATAGTTTATGTTTATATATACATATATATATATGCTATTTTATATATAATATTATATTTTATGTATTTACGCATTTATAGTCTTATGTGTTATTTATCATTAGAATAGTTAAAAAAAAGTGTAGCACATATATTATACGTAGAGGATACACTTTCTATTAGATCATTCCAAGTCCATAAAAAGGTTACGTACTTGAATATGAAATATGAAACTTACATCGGTGTGACTTCAATCTCCTCATATCCCATAATAGGTCTCCAAGGGTGCTTTTTGGGCGAATGAAAACAGTACCCAACTTGCGGAGGCACGCTTGGAGCACCGGCTGTCTCTTTCACAGGGTTCCATTGTTGCAGTTGCTATGGAAGATAAAGTGAAACAAATATAATTCTGTAATTCCTGCCCAACATGCATCGAAATGTAACATTAATTTGTATCGTTATTTACCGTACACATGGACACTTCTTTAGCCATTACGGTTAATTTTATTAAGAAATATTTAATAAGTTGGAATAAATTTAGGAAAAGGAACTGTTATGATTTACATTTGATAGAAAAATAGGTAAAAATTTTAAATCTATATTTTTCGTGGCTAAATTTGTCAGGTTATGCAACCTATAGAAAATGAAATGTGAAAACAGTTACATTTTTGATTAAATAAATTGAATAAAACTCACAAATTATTGTTTATTAACGTAATTAATCAGCAATCAGTTTATACATAAACCTAAATATACCTAATTTTCTTATTCAGAATACATTTGTTAAAAAGAAATTAAAACATTTTGGTATACAACGTTTACATCCAACCGACAAAAATGGAATGTCACTGTCACTTTGACAGTCATGTTTTGTCAGTTCTCCATAGTTGAGTTATCTGTGATTATCAATGTCCAAAAGTTGATTGTTTCCTAATATACTAAACTTTATTTTGTTGTTTTAATTTTCAAATGATAGAAATACCTAATTGTCTGCCATTTAATTTGTAAATGTAGTTCTAAGGTCGTAGTTGTCATTGTTATATTATTTATTTGTATCACAATATTAAAGAATTAAATTTAATAAAATTCAATATTAATGTGCTAACTACATAAAATAATATGAGCAACGTTCCAGATAATGCACCCCAACGTAAGAACTTTATTACATATAAGTTGAAGAAGTCTGTACGTGTGTTTCGTAATAAATTATTCACTTTTAACAAAATCTTGTAGATTGTCCCGGCACCGAGAGTCAGGATGCTGGCAAGGCATCGGCCTGTGCCGGCTGTCCTAACCAGAATATATGTGCTTCTGGTAAGTATTAGTATTAGTAGCTTCTGGTAGTATTAGTAAGGTTGTAGAAGAAAACAGGTGGAGAAAATTGATTCTGGGTGGAAAATTGCGCGGGGCAGGTATTTGTACCCGTTCTGAGGATTGCCACTTATAAGTGGGGCAGGTACTAGAACTTGTTCCGCACATTGCCATTTAAAAGCGGGGAAGATATTAGTACGCATTTAAAATAAGTAATTTTAAGTGACACAAGGAAAAAATATATTTACTAATACGGGTTTAGAAATACCTGCCCCACTCATAATGTGTTTAGTTAAGTCAGTTAGACAACTGTAACCAATTCACCTCTGAATTAACCATAATGTTTGGCTGAGGAAAAAATTTACTAAATTTATTTTTGTTCAGGCGCAGCCTCCATACCAGATCCAGCCATAGACATAATTAAAAACAGACTGTCTAATGTGAAGCACAAGATATTGATACTGTCCGGGAAAGGAGGAGTGGGAAAGAGCACAGTCACATCACTGCTAGGGCATGCACTGGCTGCTAAGAATCCAGACATCAATGTAAGTAACTTGAGATTTAAAGTGCAATATGGGAAATATTTGTTTTCACTGGACCTATTTGTCATATACTTGAAAATCCTTCCAGTCTAACCGACTGGAGGAAATTTCAAGTACACATCAGTATTTTGAGTGTAACGACCAGAAGTGTACATTTTTTTTTTGTATTTTTTGTGTACTACAAACTGTCACAATTCAACAATATATATATATATGTATATATTGTTTTTTTAAAGTAAAAAACATTAAGTAGTATGTTAATTGGGTTATCTGGTCATGACAGGCTCGGTATGTGTTACACACATCCTACTTTACTGTACATATACACTGTTTATTTGATAAGGTCCTAAGGTATTTTGCGTTTTAGTCTGCGACTAGATTGGCTCACTTTCATCAGTGTCTTTGCCTGGCGTTTGGAATGATTTTTCATTCTTTCGTCGTATGATTTGGTTTGTTTCAAAATCTCTTGTTTGAAAATGTCTATCTCCAGATCATGATGCAGCTGTTTATTTGTGACATACCAAGAAGTGTACATGTCCCATATTTTGTTTATTGGGTTACTACAATTTGGACTACATTTTGATTATAACCAATTCACAATGGATGAAGTGAAAAAAGTTTATGTTTATTTCAATGTTGGTAAAATGATATGATGCAATAGAAACATAATATTATGGTATACTGTGGGATTACTAAGGTTTCATTTAATTGTAACAATATTGAGATACTGTATCAAAGAATCCTATGCAGTGCACAATCTATTCTGTTTTTTTTTCAATGCTAAAATAAAATTATTTATTAATATAAGATCTTTCGGCTGTTGTGTGGACGATATATTTTTATCACCATCCCTACCGTCCAGTTCGGCTAGCTATTTCAGCTGAGAAGAACTAGCCAGAAATTTTTTTTGTTTTGTTTTTCAGTTTTTTTCATTTTAGTTACAGTTAAATATTATGGTTAGTGTTTAAATACCCTCAATAGACGTCTGATAACACAGAGGAAAAAGAACAGAGTCTTATATTATATTAGGCCCGTAGGCTTGTTAGTTATATATGCTATAGTTACGTACAATAAGGAGCGTGTTCTCTTATCGGTTTGTTGTAATTTTGAATTGAATATTATAAAAATAGCCTATGTAGTTTTACCCAACCGAAATACAAATGTATGTCTGGCGGTTTACCACACCGTTTCACTTCCGGTTGTCCCGAGTTCGGTTCTCGTACGATACAAATATTTGTCGTCGTAAATATTATTGTTTGTATTAATGTACCTAAGTGTTTTCTATAAAACACCGCTTCACTTCCGGTTGTCCAGAGTTCGGTTCTCGTACGATACAAATATTTGTCGTCGTAAATATGATTGTTTGTATTGGTCTTAATGTTATGTGTGGCAGTCTGTATGTATTCACAAAAAAATGTATTTCATCAATTTTTTAATATACATAGTACAAGTATTGCATAGTTTGGAACTAGATGTCGCTGTGTGAATCGTTCTGCATTATTATTCTAATACGACAAAGCAGTTAGTGAAAGTATAAAAAAAACTTACTATCGCAATTTTAATAATACAACTCACACATTGCCATCTAGTACCAAGCTATGCAGAGCTTGTGTTATGGGTTCTAGACAACTGATATAAATACATAGATACATTTTGTCGTAAATAGAAAGAAAACACCTAGACCGATACAAACAATCATACTCATGAATACAAATTATTGTCCGAGGAATCGAACCCGCAAACATAGGAAGTAAAGTGGTGTGCTAAACTGCTAGACCCCCGAGGCTGTCACTAATAATCTATACATATAAATATAATTGGAGTGTCTGTTTGTAATATTGAAATATCCGTTTTTTACTACATGCATATGGATATAACTACGGTACATACACCAAAATAGTATTATTTACAATTTTTGTCCGTCTGTCTGTTTGTTCTAGCTAATCTCTGAAATTGTTGAACCGATTTTGACGGGACTTTTACTGGCAGGTAGCTGATGTAATAAGGAGTAACTTAGGCTACTTTTATTTTAGAATATGAAAGTTAAATTCCACGCGGACGAAGTCACGGGGAACAGCTAGTAATTAATATATCTTATGCAGTGACGCAGAATTGATCGTTATTAAAAAAATTCTTGAATGTAGGTGTAGTGATTATCTTTAAGAAAATATAATTTTTACCCTATTATATCTGGATCTCCTCTCCTGCTCGCTTCCGAATTCCATTGCGACGTGTATTTAAAAAATAAAACACGTGGAGCTGTAACCACGTGTATCGATCCCTGGTGCTAGCGAACAAGAAGCCAGGAATTCGCACAGCACCGAGCGGCCGTGGACGGCGCGGGGTGGTACCGTTCAGATGACGTGCTTACTTGTCCTTCTATATAGGTCAGGTTTTATATGCTTATTATCAGTACAATGCTTGACCTACATTCAAATGTTTTATTTTTTAATAGCTATCCTATCCTATGTATATCACGAAATAAGATATTATCTCGTGGTCTTATTACTTGTCCTTCTATATAGGTCAAGTTTTATATACCTACTAGCTTTTGCCCGTGGCTTCGCTCGCGTTAATTTATCCTCTTGGGGTGGAATTCATCAAAATACTTTCTTAGGGGATTCCTACGTCATAGTAGCTGTATGCATGCAAAGTATCAGCCAGATCGGTTTAAAATTGACAAAGTTTCATACAAACTTTCATCCCCTTAGGGGTGGAATTTATCAAAATCCTTTCTTAGCGGATGCCTACGTCATAACATCTACCTGCATGCCAAATTTCACCCCGATCCGTCCAGTGGTTTGGGCTGTGCATTGGTAGATCACTATGTCAGTCACCTTTGAGTTATATATATATAGATTGTGAGTACGCTATATGACCTACATTCAAATGTTTTATTTTGTAATAGCTGTCCAGCCTTATATATCACGAAATAAGATACTATCCTCTGGTCTTACTGCTGGTCCTTCTATATAGGCCATGTTTTATATACCTACTAGCTTTTGCCCGCGGCTTCGCTCGCGTTAATTTATCCTCTTGGGGTGGAATTCATCAAATACTTTCTTAGGGGATGCCTACGTCATAGTAGCTTTATACATGCAAAGTCTCAGCCCGATCCGTCCAGTGGTTTGGGCTGTGCGTTGGTAGATCACTATGTCAGTCACCTTTGAGTTATATATATATAGATTTTGAGTACGATATATGACCTACATTCAAATGTTTTATTTTGTAATAGCTGTCCAGCCTTATATATCACGAAATAAGATACTCCCGTGGTCTTGCTGCTTCTATATAGGTCCAGTTTTATATGCCTAGTACCTAGAATTTTTTATAGCGAACTCTGACCTACATTCAAGTTTTTTTTTAATTTGCTAATGCTCATGGGCGGCGGTTATCACTTACCATCCGGTGAGCAGCATGCTCGTACGTCCACTGTGTTATATATTATATAAAAAAAAATAGAGATTGACTCTGTTGTGTCCCGATGTAAGATTTTTTTCTATTGTAGACCTATTTTATGTTGGGCCTTTACGATTTATTAGTTAAAGGGCATATTGCGGGTAAATGATACTATGTTATTAATTGAGATGATGATGATGATTACAGATGATAATTGACTGACAATATGTACATAAAAATATTAATCTTATATACTAAATGACAATAGGAATGTAAGGTGGGGTGACACAGTTTAGTCACGGCAGTGCTTAGTACACAATCTTGGATTTGTCTTACTAGCCATTATTAAATGCAATTATTATTTTGATGTATCTAGGTGTACTGTGTCCCATAGGTCACACACACAAGGTACAGTAATATACAGAAAATAAACAATAACACTTTAAAACTCCCGTTGACTCGATTCCAACTGCGTCACCCTCAATGTCAGGTTGCTCTTGGTCCGTATGTAGTCGACGGTACGGACAGGAGAGACCCTACAGTCAATACAATCACATACAGACAGGTCGGACAACTGTAGGGATAAATAGAAATAATCTTTATTCAAATAAACTCATTACTTTTGAATAGTCATATTTTGATTCTACCACTCATTCGGAATGCAGATTCATCACAAGAAGAATGAGCAAGAAACTTGTGTGTTGCTCTTTTTAATAGATATTTTTTTTATATAAATAATATATTAATAAAAAATATTAATTCAAAAAGTATGATGTTCATAAGCGGCTAAAATGTTCCACATGAATAAATCATTTTTATTTTTATTTGAATGTGCCGTGGTCGGTAGCAGCACATAACTGAGAATCCATTGTCCCCAACAGGTGGGTATTTTGGACGCGGACATATGCGGGCCGAGCCAGCCCCGCGTGTTGGGCGTCCGCGGCGAGCAAGTGCACAACTCGGGCTCGGGCTGGTCGCCGGTGGTGAGTTTTTTAATATTTTTTTTATAAAAATGACTCGGTAATAACGTAATAGTGATCGTAATATGACCATAATTAATTTAACATTCAGTAAGACTAGCTTACCGCACAGGAACCAGTATAACGCGTTACGTATAAATAATTCGATAATTAATGAATAATTAAGAAAAAACTATGTTATGAACGAAATATGTAAGTTTTATAAAAATCAAAGTAAACTGAGAACATTTCCAATTAAAAAAATATTATCATTTACTTCTTCCTTATCCCATTTATCTGTGGTCAGCGTAATATGTTTTTCTCTTCCATTCATCCCTGTTCGCAGTCATCTCGTTATTTACTTCCTTTCTTAGCATATCATCTTACACACAGTCCATCCATCTCTTTTTCGGCCTTCCTCTGCCCTTATAACCATCCACATTCGTATGTAACACCTTCCTTAAAATGTTATCTTCATTTAATTAAATAAATAAATAAATACCAATAAAAAATATGAACTGTACAAATCATTATAAATTTTACAGTACGAAAATATGTATTTGGAAAATCACGCGTTATAAGGGTACCGCGTTATAGGGGGATTACTGTAGTGTGGTGCCGTGTATTCTGTTAACTAAGATATTTTTTTATTGTTGCAGTATGTGACTGACAATCTTTCACTGATGTCTATAGGATTCCTGTTAGGAAGTCCTGACGACGCTGTTATATGGAGAGGACCTAAGAAAAATGGTAGTTAGAGATTTTTTCGTTAATTTTTTTCATTAACAACAACAAAAATGACATAAAATAACAATCAACAGTTTACACACATTACAACACAGTCATCGTGGACCACAAGTCAGTATAATGCTGGAAACTTCATCCTATCCTCCTCTACAGGTCCCATACATTGCTGGCTTAAGCTGGTACGTTATTTCGTATGTATGGAATAAAAAGCCTTGGAACACATATATTTTGTGTATAAAAGAATATATCTACATATTTATATCAACTGATAAATACATAACTAAATTTTTTTGTCTTGTACCAAAGCATATGGCCATAACACAAGCTGTACATAGGACAATGCACACAGCGCCATCTAGTCCCTTACATTGTCCTGAGATGTTATCAAGTTTTGATAAATGCAACATTGAAAGTCTATAAAAATACATTCACAATCCTAATCATGTTTTATTTTATTTGTTCAGGTATGATCAAGCAGTTTCTCAGTGAGGTGGATTGGGGTGAATTGGACTACCTTCTGATAGACACTCCGCCAGGTAATTGTTTTAATTATTTAAAAATTTTAAGGAATAATAAATCAATAAATAATGTCCTCTTTTCCACATGCTGGTACAACATATTTAACTGGTAACATATTTTACTAGCTGTTACCAGCGAGTACGTTCATATGGAATTTAACTTTTTTTTAATAATTGTTTATAATTGGATTACAATCCAGTTTTGTACCGAACTACACGCTCCCAATTATATTATTGTATTGATTGTAATCTGTTTTGTATGCTAATAAATAAATAAATTGTCAAAATAAAATTAGCCCAAGTTACTTCTTATAACATTACCTATCTGCGAGTGAAAGTCCCGTCAATATCGTTGCAGTAATTTCAGAGATTAGCAAGACAGACAGACAACAATTTTTAAAATGTATTTATTATGGAAGTGTATATATAAACTTTATAGTTTGTATATATACTTTCATATGCATTTAATGCAAAAATGTTAAATTGAAATTACAAGCAGACACTTCAATTATATTTATTTGTACAGATAATATAATATAATTGTATTTATTTGTTATGTAATTGGTGCAATAAAGAGTATAAAAAAAAATAGCTAAATGAAGGTAGGGGTGTACCATTCGATTATAATCCATTAAAAAACCTTTTTTCTCGTAAAGATAGAAAGTAACTATTTAAAAGTGCTTATATTAAGCTTATTTGAACAAAGATTATTTCTATTGTATTATTTTATATGTAGAATATAAGCAAACAAAATTTATTAATGAAGATTTTTTTGTTGTCAGGTACTTCAGACGAGCACCTGTCAGCGGTTCAGTACCTCTCCAAGGCGGGTCTGAGCGGCGCGGTGGTGGTGACCACGCCGCAGGAGGTCGCCCTCCTTGACGTGAGGAAGGAACTGCAGTTCTGTGACAAAGTCGGCGTTAAAGTGCTCGGCGTAATCGAGAATATGTCGCTGTTTGTGTGCCCCAACTGCAAGGTACCCTGATGTTTTCTAGAGCTATTATTTTATTAAGAACTAAGCCTTAGAAATAGAAATAGAAATAATCTTTATTCAAATAAACTCATTACAAGCACTTTTGAATAGTCATATTTTGATTCTACCACTCATTCGGAATGCAGATTCATCACAAGAAGAATGAGCAAGAAACTTGTGTGTTGCTCTTTTTAATAGATGTTTTTTTTATATAAATAATTACAGTGTAACAAGTAAGAGGCATGCGACAATCAACATAGAAATCGCTACGCACTCATTATTAGTGTAATCAGATAATATTGTCAGTGCTATGTATTTAAAATTTTTCTACAAAAACATTATTATCGTTAACGAATTCTTCAATTTTATAGTAAGTTTTTTTCCAAAGGAAGTGTTTTATTTGACATTTAAATCTTTTTTCTGGCAGATTTATAACAGACCCTGGTATTTTATTGTAAAACCTTACGCAATTGCCATAAAACGAATTACTAACTTTAGCCAAACGACATTTAGGTAAAATCCTTGACATATGCATAATGCCTGTATTTTCTTAAAATACCCAATGCAGTTACAATATTCTCTAGGGCTCACTTTAACCTTAGTCGCCACTGGACTATACTAACCAAAATATTGTACTGTAGTGTTGCCATATGCCATCGCTGTCAGTGCCAGTGAATCTTATACTGTAAAACATATCAATACCTGTAAAACATATAGTGAGATAATAATGAGATTTTAAATATGGTAATTAAATTATGTATTTAATTATAGACTAGAAGCGAGATCTTCCCGGCAACGACGGGTGGTGCGGTACAGATGTGCTCTGACCTCGACACACAGATGTTGGGAAGCCTCCCACTGGACCCTCTGCTGGCTCGCTGCTGCGACGAAGGCACAGATTTCCTGCAGGCGTTACCCAACTCCCCAGCGGTTATTGCATTAAAAGACATTGTTGATAGTGAGTTGATTAATTTTCTTTATCATTCACACCCTGAAAGGGTTGGGTTGGGGCCTCGGGGTCCCTTTGCTCCAGCATTAACTCTGGGAGACTGAATTTAAGCTCTGTGAGCAGTAACTTTAACATACAATTATATAAATTTCCCGATTTAAATGCAGGTGACCTTTACAGTTCAAAGGCAAGACATACTCGTAATAGGCTAATAATTGCAATAACAGTCCAATCTTGAATTCGTCTCTATAATTTTTTTTATGCAATCAAATCAAGCTGATGACAATTTCGTGACTTCAAAAAGCTGAGATTTGAGCAAATGCTTATCAACACTAGCATTAAAAATGTATATATGTGTATTATAATGAATTTCAGTTTAATAATCGCAGTGCGCCATCTCTAGTATGGGATCTGTCTTATTTTTCGAGCCATTGCTGGTAGTGAGAATTTATTTACATATTAATTTATTATGTTTACGCAAATGTGTGTGAAAATAAACAGTTATATTGTTATTTTAACATATAAAGCTATGGGCTAGTCGCTGTCTTCTTCGGGCTCCAAATCAGTGGAAGATTAATAAAAGTGTATTTATCTGAATGTTATTTCGATTGTACTTCTATTTAATCTAGAATCTCCTTTTCATAATTTTAAAAATATTTATGTTTATTTCAGAAATAATATCAGCCTGTGAAAGCGCTTGAAGCTAAGGGATGGACCAGTGAAGCAACTTATATATAATTAATTAGAATTTAAGCTAGTCAGAACATCAAAGTGATACCATATCACACAATTTCTATTAAAATGTTATATGTTATAAATTTAGTAATAAAATATATATTTTAATAACACATCTCTTTCTAGTAATTCAAATTTAAAAATCATTTATTCATGTAGGACATTTTAGCCGCTTTTGAACGTCAAGTTTTTACATTATATTTTTTTCCCCTACCGTCCAGTTCGGTATGTAGATCCAATCGAGGATACTCTTAGAAAATACAGCATATAATCATAATAAATTTGGTATTCCCTCTTTTAGCCTTATATTTTCTCTATATTGTGAGCTATTGTAAGTTGTAAGAATGAACTAAAAATGTGATATATATTTTAAGAAATTAAAAGCTCAGACTTGATGGATTTGAATTTAATCATTCTATTTTGAATATTTTTTAAATACTTATTGATTTTATTAACTAAGAAGTTAACAACTTCATTAATATTTCACATATAGTAACAATTGAATATCTCCTGATTTTGGCCTATGTCCAGCAGTGGACGTCTTCCGGGCTGCGATGATGATGATGATGATCTCGTGATTTCCATTGACAATAAATGTCACTATGACAAAACACCAATACACATTTATGGCTGTATGGGCGTAGTTCTCTTGAACAAAAAAAGTCACCAATACACGTGATAGTGACAGACGCTGTCAATGTCAAATTAAATGTCATATAATGTGTTTCCGTACTTTACTCGCCGTATTTGGATTTTTCAAATATTTTTACCAAAATTTCTAATATAAAAATTACATTAACTCCTTTGTTAGAGCAACATATAGTGGTTAGGTTTTACATTATCTAGCCTTTTTAAATCGCATAAAGTGATTTATCGGTTATCAGTTACCTATCTATTGCATCACCAATAAACCTTTTTACATGGGCACAACCTTATTGAATATTAGCAAGAAATGCCTTCTCATGGAATTGACGAAGAGGAAAAACCTTGTAGAGCGTGTACAGATTTCAAAACTTGGGCTAAACAACAGAACAAAGTCACATCAGCGGAGCCGAACAAACAGGTGAGGTTATGTTGTTGATATTATCTATCACTGAAAAGATTTTTATATTCTTCATCTGTCATCAGAGTAATTCCTGACATAAGTTTAGTTGTATAATGTAATGTTCTACTACCCATACAAAGCCAGGGTAGGTTACTTGTGTTATGCAAAAATAATTTCTGGACGTAGGAAATATTAGTAGAAATACATTTACCAATTTACTATATGAATATCGAGAGCCTCGGTGGTCTAGCGATTTAGCACGCAGCTTTACTTCTGATGGTCGCGGGTTCGATTCCTTGCATGGTGCAAACATTCGTATTTATGAGTATAATTTGTCTGTATCCTTTGAGTGTTTTCCATGTATGTATTTACAAAAAAGTATCTATGTATTTATATCAGTTGTCTAGTACTCATAACATAAGTTATGCTTACTGTGCGACTAGACGGTTCTGTATTAATTGTCCAGGTTTATTTATTTACTTAATACAAGCTGTATCTACAGTTTCACCTGTATTAAATTGAAAAAATATATAGCTTATGTGTTGTTCTGATGCATAAGCTATATTACTGTCTCTGATGCATAAGTTTCATCAAAAACTGTTCAGTAGTTTTTGTGTGAAAGAGTAACAAACTTTCATATTTATAATATTATTATTATTAAGATTACTTTTATGTATTTCAGGATGTACCTAAGAGAACAGACTGCCCTCTAGACAAAGATGAATTAGGAAAATCAACATGGGGTTTCCTCCACTCCATGGCATCATATTTCCCAGACAAACCCACACAGTCACAGTCAAGTAACATGGCGAGATTCTTCAATATCTTTGCGCAGTTCTACCCATGTGAGCCTTGTGCTTTAGACTTTCAAGAGGAGTAGGTATTTTTTTTTATTTATATACATAAGTAGCTGACCCTGAAAAAGCCTCGCCATGTAAATTAAAAATAGGGGTATTAGGGTGAAAATTTAGGCTTATAAGTATTTTTAATACAGAATCATAAAAACATCTAAATAAACTTTGCTATATTTTTGGGGTGGAAAACCCCTGTCCCTTAGAGTATGAAAAATAGGGTTAATCCTATTTTCAGACCTACTGTCTGTGGTCTGTGTGTCAAATACAGGGTAGTGTGTGTAATGACGTTTTTATTGATCAAATTATTTAATATGCATAATAAAAAAATATGTTAGCATTCTGCACTTCTCTATGTAAACTATAAGTGCGAAATTTCATACACTAGAAGATAATCTATAATTATCAATATATTAGTTTTTCATAAATTCTAGTTTACATCAATGTTTAAAAACCACTTTTTGCAACTTAGGTAACCCTGACAGCTAGTTTTTTAAGATGTGTTTCTGTAGAAAGGTGAGATAAAAGCAGTAAAATTTAAGGATACGAAGGCATGACATCTTAGTCCTCTGTTAATGTATGAGTGGTGCTATTGGCAGCACATCATAATGTGATGGTGGTGTTGAACATGTATATAGATGATAGTTAAATTATAACATGTAGATTATATCCTGGAGATGGATGAATGATGATGATTTCTAGCTGGGAGCTTGTCAAAGGATAGAGATCCTCACACGCCAACTCACCTGCCCTGCTAGCACCAGTACTGATTGCCGATAGCCAACTTCCAAAAAATCTGCCAACAAATTGTCAAGTTACCACAGCCACTTACGCGGACGACACCGCTATATTGGCCAGTCACACCAAACCAGAAGCCGCCTCCGCTATCCTACAAAATCACCTAGACAAGATTGACAGTTGGCTTAAAGCATGGAGAATCAAGCCTAGTGTCTCAAAGTCACTACAGATAACTTTCTCTCTGCGGCAAGGCAACTGTCCAGCTGTCACCCTAGGCCACGAACCCCTCCAACACGTTGACTCTGTCAAGTATCTTGGACTTCACCTAGATCGTCGACTCACCTGGAAGAAACACATAAAGGCAAAACGAGATGAAACAAATATAAAATTCAGAAATCTGGAGTTCCTACTTGGCAGGAGATCATCTCTGGCCATGGAGAACAAACTTCTTATATACAAGGTTGCACTCAAACCAATCTGGACATACGGCATTCAGTTATGGGGAAGCGCCTGTCACTCGAATATCGAAATTCTCCAAAGATGTCAAAACTGCATCCTAAAGTGCATCTTAAAAGCTCCATGGTTCATCACCAACTCTGAGGTTCACCACTTTGCCAGCATCGCCACAGTCAGGGAAGAAATTGGGAAATCAAGTATCAAATATAAGGCCCGCCTTGCTATTCACCCAAACGAATTAGCTCAGAAACTTCTAGCTAACAACCCAGCAAAAAGATTGAAAAGATCAAATATCCTTGAGCTGGATGAAAGATTTCTAGCTAGCTGAAACATGGGGACCGTGTCAAAGGATAGAGATCCTCCCACGCCCACTACCAACAACTCACCTGCTTATAGTACCTGTACTGATTGCAGATACCTACTTACCAAAAAAAAAAAAAAACTTCCAAAAAAATATTTTCATCACCTATTTAATTCCTAATCAGTATTCCATTATCAGCCATAAAAAAATACTATTGTAAAATTCATATTATAGCATAAGAAAAAACTGATATAAGCTTATATAATAACAACAAACTGGTTTTACCTAAGAACCGTTTGAATAAAGATTATTTATATTTCTTATAAAATAATGCAATTTTTTTAGCATAAAAAAAAATCCACCGGAAACTAGCTCCAGAGATGCGCTAGCAAAATGGCTGTGTGAACGTCACAATACTGTAAATGTGAAGCTTGGGAAACCAGAGTTCGACTGCAGCAAAGTCCACGAGAGATGGCGAGACGGCTGGCTGGACGGCTCCTGTGATTAAGTCGCAATATGTGAAAGATGTTGCCATGTATATATTAGTAACTTTTACCCGCGATTACACTCGCATTTAATCCTTTTTTTTTTAATAAAAAGTATCCTATGTACATTTTAATTCCTCCAAGAACATGTGTAGAAAATTTCATGATGATCGGTCCAGTACTTTCTGCGTGAATGCGTAATAAACATTATTATTTAAATATTATGAAGTAACTGTAACACTTTATCCATTATAAATTACTTAATAATAAAATTACTACAGTTAAATTAAAAACAAAAGAATGTTTTGAACTTATACCAAAGGTAGGTTGACTGTTTTTTAGATAAATTCAAAATAGCGAGGTTTTCAAATATAAACGTGGCAACATTTTTAGCATGAGATATAGTACAATAAACTATATAGTGTTGCTCGGTTTTAGTTAGAGAATTTAAGCGATTTTTGTTGCTGTATACTTTATAATGCAGTGTGATTTGTGCATTTTGCAAAATATTACATTGTATTTTGTTGTTGAATTTTTATAATCTATTTTGTATATAGATGAATGTGTACAAGTAATGTTTGTGAATTTATCACTAATTAAAATATTTCTATTTAGATTTTCCTTTTTTTTGTTACAACTTACCTTTCAATAGTAGCAATTAAATTATAAAAAAAAATCAAATCTATATACCCAGTGTAGGATGACGTAAACTGTGCAATCTACGTAAAAAGTCGTAATTCGCAAATTTTATTGTCTATGATTTTGGTATAATCACGCGAACTATACCAGAGTTGCCATGTTTAAAAAAAATACCACCAATATATTTCCTCAAGAAATTATTGTCCATGTATACAATATTCTTCTATAGATTACCCTCTGACTTCGCATGTAGAATACAATACATTATATTTTAAAGCATACAGTAAGATTAATAAGATCTACTGTGTGATCAAGGCCCACCTATTTACATATGTAGAGATTAAATAATAAACAATTGGTATTTTAATATTTTATTGTAAAGTTCATTCAAAAGTAGAAATTCAGTTCCATGTCAACAATCATTCTCCATGCGTTATAGCAAGGTACGAGTGCAAAAATAACAAAATAGTACTTTGCTAGATTAGCGCATATCCAAACGGTAGTTATCAATAGGCAATTGAAGAATAGAGCCGTCCGATTTACCGGATATATGTGGCCGGATTAAATCACCCGCAACATGCCATAACGCGCGTAGGTTACATACGTAACAACAATTCATTCAAATATCAAGTACAAAAGTTTACAATCGATTAATAGTAATAATAGTAGGTATACTACGATATAAGTAGAATTACATGTACCCGAGCCGAAGGCAAAGGCGTAATAGGGCCGAGTGTGTTAAATACGCACGTACATCGAACGACGTTTTTCAACACACTTGATTTTAAATAAACTCATCCTTAAAACTGATACACGCTGTTGCTTACCTGTCGTTTTACTTTTTTAAATCAGCGCGCTGTCTTACGACTAGCGTCGCGAGGCGTTGACTTCGAAATTTGATATAAAATAAATAAATGCGGTTATGGAATATGACTTCATTATTTGCGTGTTTTATCATTCTTCTTCATTATATAACGCACGCGTGTTTTATGAGCTGCTGTATATAACGAAAACTGGTGAAATTAAATCCACTTTACGAGCAAGTGTGTTGAAAAAATAATTATCACATGTTACATTACCAATAACATAGTTCATTTTGGAAATGTTGAAAATATTTCCATATTGTAAATCGCCATCAAAAAATACATTCCATCATGTGTTATATACAGGGTGATCTAATCTAGACTTAGAAATTACATTTTGAATTAAGTCCAACGTCAGTGCAAAAGGGGTTACATACTTCCATGTTTCTAATATACCATCAAAATAGCACGAAAATAAATATATAAGAGCACGTCACCGCCTAGTGGTTAACCAGTTCGAGTTACACTCTAAAGGTCGTGAGTTCAAATTGACAAAAAAAAAACTTATGTCAATTTATATTTCGTACTGACTCTCTGGTGAAAGAAACACTGATAACTGATTAATCCAAGAGACAGCGTTAGGTTCGTCCTCTGGGTCCTTAGTATCAAAAATAATATAGCCAGTAATGTGGGCTTGTCAAGTGTTGGGTACACCATCGACAATAGACAACTGTCTCTGACTACTCCATCTACGATAATGATCGTGATGATAAATTGATTATAATGCTAACAATTTATTTGAGAGCGTTATGATTTTATAGTTTACTATACCCTCGGAAGTTCCAATCTGGATGACACAAAAAAACAATACATATTGCTAACTCTGACGAAAACACATAACAAATCAAATTAATAGATCATAAACATACATACACAGATCTTTCTGGATCTAAAGTTATAAAATTACATTATGATGAGGTATTGCAGTCAGGAATTAACCACATCCTGTCCAAAGCAGTGATTTTATAAAGGATGCTGTTATTGTGCTTAAAACTAAAAATTATTACATGGCTAAAACGCTTAAATAATAAATCAGTGTTAAATTTAACAACTGAAAAATTTATAGGTCAAATCCTCAATAACAATACCTAAATAAACAAAATAATGCTCATAGAATAATCGTACATATACATACTAAACATAAAGTAATTGTAACAGTTTTTTTTTAATTAACGAGATTTCTTATTTGATCCCTTGCTTTTTTCGGACTACTGTAATGATATTGGCCGCAGCTGCCCTTTACAGCTTCACCGGACGATAGAGGCGAGTACAGATGGCACTTCAAACCAAAGGAAGGACTTATGAAGCGGCTGAAGGCCAACTATCGCCTGACGGATACGACTTTAGCCTGAGGTGACCACTAGATTTTTTAATTAACGAGATTTCTTGATTTGTTGAATTCCTGCTGTTTTCATGCTATTCTGTTGGGCGCAGCTGGCCTTTACAGCTTCAGTGAAGGATAGGGGGGCCAAGTGCAGATGGCACTCCAAATCTGGGGAAGGACTTTATAGAGAGGCTGAAGGCCAACTCCTACCTGACGGATGACTTTAGTCAGAGGCACCGCTAGGATTCCTCAGCTTAGGCCGTAGTAATTTCGATCCACGTTTGAATTGAATTGATGGACGGGGATTGATCAATCTTATAGAAATTAATGTTATTGTAATATTTTGTATATCAGTACATAAGATCTCATTTCATCACAGATCTATATAAATCTCAGAACTTCATTAGTGATATAATAAAAATGCATTATTATTGTATTATCTTTATATACCAAAATTACGTGTCACATTGTTTGTCCGCGATGGACTCCTAAACTACTGAACCGATTGCAAATTTGATTTGCACATTGTGTGCAATTTGATCCAACTTGAAAGATAGGATAGCTTACATCTGAATTTATAGGCGCAATATTATTTTATTCGAGAACCTTAGCCACAGCAACGCGTGGCCGGGTCTGCTAGTATTATTATATGAAATATATTTAACTTGTCTTTAACCTTAAGTTCCTGAATACCCAAAACTCTCCGTAACCAGTAGGAACAACTCAAAGTGACCCATTGTATAGGTTGAAAGGTTTTTTTTATAGATAATAATGTAATGGTGCGCTAAAGTTTCATCTTATCATCCTACACTGGTGCCCCGCCAACGTAAACCGTTAGAGCAGGCAGGTGCACCATTCCATAGTATATAGTCCATATAGTAAGAAAGGGAGTAAATAACGAGATGACTGCGAACAGGGATGAATGGAAGAGAAAAACATATTACGTCGACTCCAAATAAATGGGATAAGGAAGAAGCAAATGATGATGATGATAGTACATTTCATAATGGTAATACATTAATAAATATAAATATAAAAATCACAAAGCAGCCAAAAACGGCTGGCAGGACAGATTACATACTGTGCGGCCTGGTTATAAGGTCGAGATTCCCTTGGTCGACCTGTGTGGGTCATTGTTTGTGTTGTTCTCATAAGAATTCCATTTCCCTCTCGATGCCGACAAATTTGAGCTGCTCTGTTGGACCGTATCTGTGGAGTGGAAAGAATGAAGTTAAATATCGCATCTCAAGAAAGCAAACAAAGGTATATATTACACTATATATTAAAATAATTAGGTTATTTGCACAATGACAGCCTCGGTGGTTTAGAAATAGAAATAATCTTTATTCAAATAAACTCATTACAAGCGGTTTTGAATAGTCATATTTTGATTCTACCACTCATTCTGAATGCAGGTTCATCACAAAAAGAATGAGCAAGAAACTTGTGTGTTGCTCTTTTTAATAGATGTTTTTTTATATAAATAATCACAGTACGCACTCATTATTAGTGTGTAAATGCTATGGATTTAAAGTTTTTCAATAAAAACATTATTATCGTTAACGAATTCTTCAATTTTATAGTAAGCTTTTTTGCAAAGGAAGTGTTTCATTTGACACTTAAATCTTTTTTCTGGCACATTTATAACAGACTCTGGTATTTTGTTGTAAAACCTTACGCAATTGCCATAAAAAGAATTACTAACTTTAGCCAAACGACATTTAGGTAAAATCAGTTTGTTATTGTTACGTAAACTTTAATTGGTGCAATCACTAACTCTTTTGAAACTGTTTATATTCTTCCTGGCATAGATGATATTTTCATAAATGTATTGAGAAGCAACGGTGAGGATATTTGATTCCTTAAAACACTCTTGCAATGACTCCCTGGAACCCATGCTATAAATGGAGCGAATGGCCCTCTTTTGTAAAATAAATATTGTATTTATATCAGCTGCTTAGAAACATAACCATAACAAAATACCATACGACATAATGCTATGGAAATAGCTAAAGTACACAAGTTTAGTTTTGTAAAGTAAATAAAGTAAATAGTAAAAGTTAGTGGTACAGGATACCGTTTTACTATCCGATGGTCGCGGGTGCGATTCCTTGCACGGTACAAACAATTTTATTTATGGTCGGTCGGAAGTTGAGATAGGGTAAAGGTAACAGTATTACACTTTCATTGCCATTCATGTTGTTAATAAAAAATTACCTGTAATCAAAGAAGAGCTCCTCCCCGGGCTGTATGGCGCGCTTGGCGAATATACCGATGCGGTGGTCGCCGTTCACCATCATTACTTTCGCGTAGCAGTTCGGGTTGATGGAGTGGTTCGCGAAACGTATCTTGTTGCCTTTGCGAGTTGCGTCCACCACGAAATCTGAGAAAAGTTGCATGTATTTTAAGTTGTTTATATGTTTGTTTTTACATAATATACATAGATTTGATTTGACGGCCTCGGTGGTCTAGCGGTTTAGCACACCACTATACTTCCGATGGTCGCAGATTCGATTCCTCGCACAGCACAAACATTTGTATTCATTAGTATGATTGTTTGTATCGGTCTGGGTGTTATATATATATATTATTGTATGTATTTACGAAAAAAAATATAACTATGTACTTATATCAGTTGTCTAGTACCTATAATACAAGCTTTAGCTAGCTTAACTTGGGTCTAGATGGCACTGTGAGAAATATCCTGAGATTATAATTACAGAAAATACCCAGACCGATACAAATAATCACACTCATGAATACAAATATTTTTAGTGTGCGAAGAATCGAATCTGCGACCATCGGAAGTAAACTGGTGAGCTAAACCGCTAGACCACCGGGGCCGTCAAATATTGGCGTAGAATTTAGTAAATGTAAACTGACCATTGTTGAGATTGAAGAGGAAGGAGCACATGTACTTGTCGTAGACCTTCCCGCGGCGGTCGGCCTCGTCCTGCGAGATGATCTCGCCACAGTACTCGGAGATGAACTCGTTCTTGTGCGCAGCCTCCTTCAGGAAGATGCCCCACCCGGCCACGTCGCTCGGCGCCAGCAACAGGTGCTTGTGGAGACCCCTGATACAACACATGCCACGATCAGTGAGATCTCATATGGTAATGTTAACAATCAACTTGTTCACGCAGGCGGCGGGGGTTACGCGGGTCGCGGGGCTCGCGGCGGTCACGGTGTCTCGGGGCAGCGGGGCTCACGGGGTTCTCGGAGGCCGTGGGGCGTGTAGCTCAAGGGGGTGGGCGGAGGTCGCGGGGCTCAAGGGTGTTCGCGGGTGTCGCGGGGGGTAGCGGGGCTCACGGGTTTCTCGGGGGCCGTGGGGCTCTCGGGGATCACGGGGGCCGTGGGAGTTCTCGGGGATCGCGGGGGGTGTAGCGGGGCTCAAGGGGGTTCGCGGGTGTCCCGGGGGCGTAGCGGGGCTCAAGGGGGTTCGCGAGGGGTGGCGGGGCTCACGGGATTCTCGGGGGCCGTGGGGCTCTCGAGGGTCGCAGGGTTCTCGGGGGCCGTGGGGGTTCTCGGGGCTCGCGGGGGGTGTAGCGGTGCTCAAGGGGGTTCGCGGTGCTCACGGGATTCTCGGGGGCCGTGGGGCTCTCGGGGGTCGCGGGGGCTAGCGGGGCTCAAGAGGGTGGGTGGAGGTCACGGGGCTCTAGGGGGTGGGCGGAGGTCACGGGGCTCAAGGGGGTTCGCGGGTCTAAAGGGGGTTCGCGGGTGTCGCGGGGCTAAAGGGGGTTCGCGGGAGCTAGCGGGGCTCAAGGGGGTTCGCGGGTGTCGCGGGGGCGTAGCGGGGCTCAAGGGGGTTCGCGGGGGTAGCGGTGCTCACGGGATTCTCGGGGCCCGTGGGGCTCACGGGGGTCGCGGGGGCTAGCGGGGCTCAAGAGGGTGGGCGGAGGTCACGGGGCTCAAGGGGGTGGGCGGAGGTCGCGGGGCTCAAGGGGGTTCGCGGGTGTCGCGGGGGCGTAGCGGGGCTAAAGGGGGTTCGCGGGGGGTAGCGGGGCTCACGGGATTCTCGGGGGCCGTGGGGCTCTCGGGGGTCGCGGGGGCTAGCGGGGCTCAAGAGGGTGGGCGGAGGTCACGGGAATCAAGGGGGTGGGCGGAGGTCACGGGGCTCAAGGGGGTTCGCGGGTGCCGCGGGGGCGTAGCGGGCTTCAAGGAGGTTCGCTGACCTTAGTGGGGTTCGCGGGGGGGTATCGGGGCTCAAATAGGTTCGCGGGGGTTAGTGGGGCTCAAGGGTGTTCGCGGAGGGTAGCGGGGCTCAAAGAGGTTCGCGGGGGATAGCGAGGCTTAAGGGGTTCGCGGGGCTCAAGGGTGTTCGCGGGGTGTAGCGGGTCTCAAGGGGCTTCGCGGGGGGTATCGGAGCTCAAGGAGGTTGGCGGGCCTCAGGGGGGTTCGCGGGGTGTATCGGGGCTCAAATAGGTTCGCGGGGGGTAGCGGGGCTCAAGGGGATTCGCGGTGCTTAAGGGGTTTCGCGGGGCTCAAGGGGCTTCGCGGGAGGTATCGGGGCTCCAGGAGGTTCGCGGTGCTTAAGGGGATTCGCGGGGCTCAAGGGGCTTCGCGGGGGGTATCGGGGCTCCAGGAGGTTCGCGGGGCTTAAGGGGATTCGCGGAGCTCAAGGGTGGTCACGGGGTTTTCACGGGGATAGCGGGGGCCACGGAGGTGTCGCGGGGATCAAAAGTTCACGGGGCTCAAACGGCAGTTACGGGGGTGTGGGTCACGGTGGGGGTCGGCCAGGTATACTACAGTGTTATAGAGACCTCTGCACGGAGACGTTCTTGCAGCAGGCGGCGGGGGCGGCGGCGGGGGCGGCGGGGGCGGCGGGGGCGGCGGGGGTGGCGGCGGGGGGCACGTCCGCGCCGCACGCCGAGCACAGGTCGGGGTCGCACTCCCGCACCCCGAGGTAGCACGGACACTGCTTCGTGTTGCACTGCGCCTTGCAGCGGCAACCCGGGAACCGGTTCTGACCTGATGCACACGCATATACTGATATATTTCTGTTCACTTGTCCCCAAGTATCGTTTAGAAAAAGTCAATAGGTTTTTTATGGGAATAGGTATGAAAACTTACAATAAGTCATCTATTAAATTATATTTACTGAGCAAGGCTTATTACTCACAAGACGATTGCTTGAATGACGAGCGTGCATGGCAATAGTTGTTCATGCACGGGATTTTCATTTAATGTTGGAAATAGATACCTATATAAATATACATTAAAAATAAAACTATCTTTTTAAAACAAAATAAGTAACTCAATTGTGTTTCTTGCCAGTTCTTCTCAATTGGATCTTTATACTGAACTGGACGGTAAGGATTAATTATAGTATAAAAAAAATTACGTTCATAAGCGGCGACGATGTTTAAATATGAATATTTATTTATACTTCCAAAAACAGAAAAAAAAATTGCAAATAACTGATACAAAAGTTGGTCTTATCATTTTATCAGACGAGTTATTCCAAAGTCGCCTACAAGTAACTTAAGTAACTTAAAAAAATTGTTTCGCTCTAGTATGTACTACCATTTTATTATAACTAAATTTATAACAACACTAGCTTTTGCCCGCGGCTTCGCTCGCGTTAATTTATTCTCTTAGGGGTGGAAATCATCAAAATTTCTTAGGGGATGCCGACGTCATAGTAGCTTTATGCATGCAAAATCTCAGAACGATCGGTTTGAAATTGATAGTTTCAAACTTTCATCCTCTATTTAATCCCCTTGGGGGTAGAATTAATCAAAATCCTTTCTTAGCGAATGCCTACGTCATAACAACTACCTGTATGCCAAATTTCAGCCCGATCCGTCCAGTGGTTTGGGCTGTGCGTTGATAGATCACTATGTCAGTCACCTTTGCGTTATATATATTTAGATAGATATTGTGAGGGGAGAAAGTCGAAAATATATATAAAATTTTAGAATTTTTAGCGGACCATGTGTTACTCACCCCCGATCTAGATAATTAATTATATATAACAAACGTGACTCACAGTCGCTGCTGCACTGACAGAATTTCTCGCAGAAGTTCTGCGACTGCAAACACGGGCACAGACTGTCGCACGGCTGGTTGGGGTGGTCGCACGGAGTGTAGTTGTACCTGGACAACAACATTCATAATAATCACTATAATATTACTAACTGACTCCGCATATTGTGTTTTGCCTAATACATTTAAATCACTATTAAAAAATAGATGAAAGAAGAAAATTTAGGGTTGTATGTATTCTTAATGACATATTTTAAAAAAAATAAAAATTTTATCTTTAAAGTAAAAATAAAAGTTAGGGGTGGACAACCCTTAAAACTAGGGGTATGAAAAATAGATAGTAGCCGATTCTCAGATCTACTGAAAATGCCTATAAATTTTCATAAAAATCGGTAAATCCGTTACGGAGGAGTATCGTAACTAGCAATGTGACACGAGAATTTTATATATAAGTTAAACGCGAACGATTGTGAGTATGGATTGATCGATGTTTGTTACTTTTTCAAGTAAAAACAGAGGTTATACGTTATTTAAATTATTAACCGGGTCTTAACACGAATAACCTTATGGCAAATAAAGGTATTGAGGTTAAGACCCGGTTAATAATTTAAATAATGTATATTAAACACGAAACTTTAATATTAACCAGAGCTTATACGTCAGAATAACGCATATACTGTAATATAATAAGATATTACGTAAATTAAGCGATATATAATGAGTCAAGTGTGAGAAATTGCACGGTTCCGCTAGTAATAACTCACACAGCGTCATCTAGTCCCAAGCTAAACGGAACTTGAGTTATGGGTACTACACAACTGATAGAAATACTTAAACATTGTTCTACTGCGTACATATAAGCTTTTGCCCGCGGCTTCGCTCGCGTTAATTTATCCCCTTAAGGGTGGAATTTATCAAAATCCTTAGGGGATGCCTACGTCATAGTAGCTTTGTGCATGCAAAGTCTCAGCCCGGTCGGTTTAAAATTGACAAAGTTTCATACAAACTTTCATCCCCTATTTTATCCCTTTGGAGGTAGAATTAATCAAAATCCTTTCTTAGCGGATGCCTATGTTACAACATCTACCTGCATGTCAAATTTCAGCCCGATCCGTCCAGTGGTTTGGGCTGTGCGTTGATAAGCTGTCTCATCACAAGAAAGAGCAAGAAACTTGCGTGTTGCTCTTTTAAATAATTTTATTATTACTTTACATTTTTAAGTTTAAGTGTGTGAATACAAACCACCAATTAGCATTAATTCAATTCAATACTCAAATAGAAAAAATATTGAATATATAACCAACTGGTTAAACAATTAATAGGAGGAAATCAGTCATAGTATAATATGAGCTATGAGCAGATGTGGTAAAACTTTTACCACATTATCATCAATTAAAAAATAAAATGATCATCGTCGGCACGTGTCCGATTTTTATCGTGTCGTGTGCGTGCAGCGTAGTACGTACACGTGGTGCGAGGCGGAGTCCTTCTTGAGCTGTATCTTGCGGCAGTGCACGGACCACAGCCGGTGCTTCTTCTTCTTCTTACGCGGCGGCGTCAGCTCCGCCTCCACGCGGCACTCCTCTTGACCAGTATTAATCCAATACGTGTACACCTGTAACAATAATTTGTTTTTTAATAAAGACAACAATAATTTATTTATGCATAAATAAAACCAATTAGCATTAATTCAATTAAATACTCAAATAGAAAAAATATTGAATATATAACCAATTGGTTAATCAATTAATAAGAGGAAATCAGTCATAGTATAATATGAGCTATGAGCAGATGTGGTAAAACATTTACCGCATTATCATCAATTAAAAAATAAATACAAAACTAAAATAACATAAATAAAAAAATGTACATATGACGTATTTAACACATGAAAAAAAAATCTCTCCCATTTTCACTGGACTATTCATTGTTTTGTAATTAGGTATGTATTTAGATATATATAATTATATTATATTTATACCTACTTAATATAATTTTTATTTCATGTTATTTACTTAAATGCACCGCCCACTAGATTAGTTTGCCTACTGGGACATAAAGGGAGTAAGTGACTTATTTATTTATTAATTAGCTTAGACTTCTAGGGAGTAAATGACTTATTTATTAATTAGCTAGTTTCCCGACTGTATAACTGTAACTGGATGTCCTTCATACAGGTCATTATAATGACCTAGTAAGGACAGCAGTGACATAATGTTATGTTGAGATTTAAATATTGTATCTGTTTCTTCTTTTTTAATATAGTCTGTTTTTTGTAATTTATATTGTCTTATATATAAAATTCTCGTGTCACAGATTTCGTTCCCATACTCCTCCGAAACGGCTTGACCGATTCTCATGAAATTTTGTGAGCGTATTGAGTAGGTCTGAGAATCGGCCAACATCTAAATGTTAGGGGTAGTCCACCCCTAAATTTTTTTTTAGTTTAAGGCAAAACTACGTTTGCCGGGACAGCTAGTTGTCTTATAAAATGTGTATACGTGTATATCTGTTGATGTAAATAAATTTATTATTATTATTATAGTATAGTTCTATAGTGCGAATAATGTTCACCCAAGGAGTTTTTCAAGGTGAATTTGGTTTAATATTATGGGTAATTCACTCACCTGTTGGCAAGTCTTGGAGAGCATGACCTGAGCGATCGCGCAGTAGTTCGATGGGAACACCTTGTGAAGAGCTCTGAACAGCGACTGGTCGGAACCAGTCCACTCGGAATCTGTATCTCCCAATGTCAACCCTGGATGCGAAAATTTGTGAGTACTCATTGATGCTAGTAACTTATAAATAACACTGAACAACGTACGGTATGTGAATCGTGGACAAAACTAGAGACAGAACATATCTATGGTTCCAAACGGTGGGAATTGTGTCTTACCATAGACTCAAAATATAAAATAATTATTTGTAGCTAGCAACAAATAATATTAGTAATAATAATAATAATTTCAGAACAATTCACACAGCGTCATCTATACCCAAGTTAAGCTAGATAAAGCTTGTGTTATGGGTACTAGATAACTGATACAAATACATAAATAATTACAAACATTAATATTCATAAATACAAATATTTGTGCCGTGCGAGGAATCGAACCCGCGGCTATCAGAAGTAAGGCAGTGTGCTAAACTGCTGGCCACCGAGGCCGTCATAAGTATAATATTTACCTAGTGTATTGTACGCGCTGTCAGCTAGCCCATCGGCGGTCGGCTTCACGTGACTGCTGTTGGAACTCCAGTTGCTGTTACTTGAATTGCTATTACTGCCTGTAGGAGTCAAATTATTATTACACTCACTGAACTGAAGCTGCTTTTACACATACGCTCTTTCATGTGGGAAAGAATGTACATGTAAATGTAAGCAAAGAACGAGAAAGACTGCGTGCGCCGCCATCGAGCGCATTCCCGCGCCCTTCAAGTGCGTGCTATAGCGCCTTTTTGAAATAATTAATTGTCATTACAAAATGAGGAACATCAGTTATTGGTAATTTATAAATATTAAACTTTGGCTAAAAATCTGTGGAATAAAAAATATAATTTTAAAATAAAATGAAATGACATGACTCGTAAATTCTTTCTAATTGTGATTTTAACATGTAATCTTTGTGTATAGACATTGTAGGTTGTCCTAAATAAATGCACATCCAAGCAGTCCTCGACTTAAGTCGTCGAACTTACTTTTCATAATAAAGTATGTCTATGACATAACTTTTTAATTGTCTATTTTTAATATAATTGTCATTGATTTCTTTGTAGTGTAACGATGACAGTTCACGTGCCTATATAAAATATATATCTAATCTAATATAATTAATTTTTATTATTTATATACATATATTATTACAAACAAGTATGTATATCTTTTGTTTTGTTATGTAAATGCAGTTTTTTTTTATATTGTGTCCGAGTGGATTTACATGTAAACATATAAAAAATATGTCTTGCTTTACGTCGTTTCGATTTACGTCGCGTATATCGAGAACCTAACATACAGTGAGTGAGTGGGAAGGGTATTGTTAGTAATGTGGGTTCATGACCCCATTGCTAGCAATGTACGAAGTCAGATTGACCTCCACACGGTTCCCCCTGGAAACCATCGTGATAAATTCCTGGTGAATTTGTCACGATGGTTAACTGACCTGACCTCATGTTCATCATCCTCCACTGGTGCCCCGCCAGCGTGAACCGTTGGCGCAGGCGGGTGAATCATACCATTATCATCCATAAAAACACATGCAGTAAGTACGAGGATTGCCTGTACAATATTTGTATAAAAATAATTTGGGTGTGACCTTTCTGGTAGCGATTGCTGTCGTTGCTGTCCTCGGAGGACGCGTCGTTGGGCGAGTCGATGGCGTGCGGCTTCCCTTTATCCTCCTCCCCAGCTGCTTTCTCACGAGCCAGCTTCTCACGCATCCCCTCCTGTTAACCAACCGTCAGATATTTTACCAGAAATACTATGTTTTTTATATATTTATTTTCATTTGATAATGTTAGTGTAGGTACTAAGCTTGAAGTTAAATACTGACGGAATGATATTTTGTATAATTTAAAATATTATATTTATGTTAAATTATATAAAATTACTCCATCCTTCATCCAATCCTTGCTGGAGGCCCACTCCAGCAAGGTGGACCGACGATCTGGTCAAGATCGCTGGAAAGCATTGGATGCGAGCAGTGCAGGACCGATCGTCGTGGAGATCTTTGGGGGAGGCCTATGTCCAGCAGTGAACGTCTTCCGGGCTGCGATGATGATGATGATGATGATGATGATGATGATGATGATATAAAATTACTACATTACTTAATTTATCACTCTGCTTAGCTCGGTATTCCCAAGCATGGAGCTGTGTGAACTGTTCAGAGCTAATATTATTATTATTTCCCTCGTTCTCAGTACTATATACGTATTTTAAATTTAACGCGGTCAATATTTATACATAAAATTAGGAAAAAACGGGATCTTAGCGCCTACATTTTATTTATTTTTATCCAGATCCAGATAGTAAAAATAAATAAAATGTAGTAAGATCCCGCGATTATCGAACCCGCGACCATCGGAGTCAAACTGTGTGCTAAACGGCTAGACCACCGAGGCCGTTAAATAGTGTGCCTACACTACTCAACACTCGGCACCCTTCCATTAGTTTATATTTCTATAACTTACATTTAACATCAGTGTAAAGTCAGTCCACGTTGCCACTTCGCGTTGAGTTACTAATAAGTCATATATCAAATAATGTTACTAATGTAATTAAATTATTACACCTGTATACTCACTACCTCAATACTACAGGAAACAAACAAATTAAAAGTGATACGTCATTACATCATATATAACGCTACAGTGATAAGGTGATACCCATCACGCTGCAATGGTTTATTTATTTAGTTACATTTGATAATGTTAGTTTAATATTTAATTATTTCATTCCACAAATAATTGGCCACACACTAATTCTGTTAAATTGAGGTCCACCAATCTATAAATAAAACAGTTTAAAAGCTTTTAGAGACATGTCTACTTGATATTTTTTTTTATTTTAAAATAAATTAGAAAGAAAACCGAATCATATGGTTTATAGAAAAATAACCACAAAGTTAATGGTATGACTTGAAAATATTTTTTATTGAAAAACACAACTCACCAGCATCATATAGCAATTAGGTCCGCAAGGCTCCGAGAATGGCTTGAGGTCGGGTCCTTTCCGCTTGGACAAGTTGGGTCCGGGGTGGCAGGCTTGCAGACCTGGCAGCATGGCACATGTGGAGCTTAGATTACGACTACGGAACCGCGGCCGGCGCGGCAATACTGCTGCCGGTGTAACCGTGAGGTGGCCGTGACCCAGTCAAGTGTTAATAAGAAAATGATATGAACTGATGTGATCTTGCTTGCTTCTTGGACCCTAATTTATTTAAAATCCATTTTCAATTCTACTGTCTTACCAATGGAGGAGAGGATTATATGTGGGACCTTTGGGTCCCTTGCTAGCAAGTTAAATCGAATCTAGAATTTATACTTGAAAAGAATTATTCTTGGACTCTATTTATATAAAATCCATTTTCAACTTGCAATTCTACTGTCTTACTAAAGGAGGAGAGAATTACCAGTTATAGGGACCTTTAGGTCCCTTGCTAGCTAAGTTATGTCGGACTCCACGCGGTCTTTTATAATCCATCGTAACTAAATTCTGGTAAAGATTCCGGCCATTAACACATGTTTAATATCATTGATATGATAAACAAGACGAATCACCTGATGGTAGGTGGTAACCGTCACCCATATATCTAAACAGGACAATGGCCATAATGTAATCATAAGACGTCCATATTACCATTCATGCTTTGTCATTTCGGAGGACGCAAACTTATGCCTACGTACCGTGTAAATTGACTACCTATTCTCTTCCACCGAAACACATTTTGCAAAGCAAGCTAGCTACTTAGCAGCCAAAATAAGGGTAAAAGGGTAAACAGGTAAATTTGTTCAATTTCATTAACTGTTTTAAAATATATTCCAAAGCTGTTGGCCGTAGCCTTTACAGCTTCACTGAGCATGCGGTTCCTGCAGGAAATCATCGTTGTTAATTCCTGATTAATTCACCATGGTAGTCTAACTCGACATTATCCTCATCCTGTCATCCTCCAATGGTGCCTCACCAGTGCATTTAGCATCGGAGCGTGTACCATTCAATACATTAAAAAAAATAGTCTCTTATGAATCAGTTATGTAGGATTATCGCATTGTAAAGCTTGATTAGGTTATTGCTATGAAATATTGTAAAAATATTAAATATTAATAATGATTATTAATAACTACGTCACGACATAAATGTGTACACATATAGAGATGATAATACAGATAAAATAAGAGAAAATAATATATGATACAACAACTACAAAGGAAATAATAGAAAGAAAACATTTTATTTGACAAACATGCGACGTTATTCAGACTTAAAAAAAATAGAAAAAACCAACTCGAAAGAAACATTCGTTATACACAACAGGTTATGCGTGAGTCGGTCTAGCATTGTGAGGGTTCCCGACAAACAATGTTATTTAGATACAACTGCATTATATCTCTAAGTAATGTATGTTAAAACTGAACTGAAACATAAATGAATGTAAACATTCCATTCAAAATGACACAAATTAGTTTTACAAATACAACGCTGCAACAAATAGCTTGACGAACCAACGGACATACAAAGCCACCGAGTTTAATAATAAAGCTTCGGTTTTACCTTTTTGGTATAAACTCATTTGAAAGGAATAAGAGCTGAGTTTCTTGTCAGTTCTTAGCTCGAAAGCACTCCGAACTGGTGTTAGATTAGATATCATGAGAGTCTAGTTCCATATGAATAATGATATTTTGATTTTCTGTTCTAGTTCATAATTATCCCTATGAAAATTTTTAAATTGATATATGTATAGATTTTATTTAATAATTTCTATTTGCGTCGCAATGTTTGCCAAAGTGAATTGGCATTCGGCTAGTTTGTGCATAACATCGTTCCTGCTCAGCGTCCACCAAAAAGACAAAAAAATATAATAAAAGAGAGTGTGATTGGCATGAGAGATGAGTACCACAGTGGCAGACATTGATGATCTGGCCATCAACCGATGAGGAAGAAAGTTTGAGCCCTGGATGAAGCTAGAACCTCTAATGCATTTATGGGAATCAATGAACGAGGTTGGTGTGAACCATTCTATATGGCAGTGTCAGGGTGAGGGAGATGTTCAGCAGACAATGAATGATTGAGTGATGATGAATGGTTCTGGTGGCACGGCCTTACCTGCCGTCTGGCTTCCTGTTAGCCAAACAGAACAACACACTAATAAGCCCTATAGAACAAATATTAAAATACTACTTATATACTACATATATATTTAACTTACACTAATTATATACTTGGCTAAGGTGGGCAAGAGAGCTTGGTGCTCGCCTGACGGTGAATGATCACCATAGATTAGCAATACCAGATAAGTATTATAAGTATTAGTCTCAATAATTTAAAATTTAATTGTATTATCGATAATTTCAAATATATTGCCTGGTTTTTTTTAATTATTATTATTAAATTATATATAATATTATTAACACTTATAGGTAAAAATATCTGTCTATTTCGTAAGGAACCTAATAAGACTTTTATTACTTGGAGTTAAATTCGATATTTGAAAGAAAAGCACAATATAAACTTAATAATTAAAATAGGTTTATTAAAAAGTTATACGTTTATTTAAAATAATAAAACACATATATGTTAAAGTGTATAATTGACAGTAAACCTATTTTATTTATTAAAGTATTTTATTTCTGTCCTGTAATATATTTTTATGAATATGTACTGATATACATATTGATAAAATATACATTAAAAATAGCTTATTGTGGGGATTGAATGAAAATCCTTCTATGAAAAATATCTAACAGTGTATGCCTGTACCACAAAATACTTTTTGTAAAGTCTAGACTATTGTTATATTTATTCCTAATAACCTTGTACCATACAAGTAAAAATCGTCATCAGTGTTGCCTGGCAGATTAGTATATCAGGTATTAGATAAAATACATACAAAACAAGAATTACGGATGTAATTTTCCCCACATAAGCATCGTTTACTTATAACAATATCAGTACTTGAAATGCACCAACAATATTTACAGACAGTGCCCATATAAAGCACAGAATGTAACAGAGAGTATGGTGTCTTACAGTCGTAAGACGGGGTGTAATGTGCACACTCACGGTGTAGGAAGCAGTCGTATTTGAAGCAGCGGCGGCAGAAGAGCGTGTGGAAGGAGTGCATGGTCTGGTCGCGCGACACGGACTCCGCCAGCGGACCGTCCAGGTTGGGGGTGCACTCCGGCAGCCGCGCCAGCGGGTCCGCCACAGATGTCAGCACAGTGTACCTGTACACCACATCGACCCTCACGTTTTGGTCTTCTGTTAGTACTAAAGCAGCGGCGTGCTGGGCCGGGTCAACGTTACCCCTCCAATTCTTTTTGCCACGCACGACCACACTGTGGAATCACCTTCCAGCAATGGTATTTCCGAACCGATACGATATTGAAACCTTCAAGAAAAGAGCTCGTTCCTTTTTAAAAGGCAGACAACGTACGTGCAATTCCCCTGGTGTTGCGGGTGCTCATGGGCGGCGGTAATCACTTACCATCAGGTGAGCCGCATGACCGTTTGTCCCCTGTGTTATAGAAAAAAAATATGGTTGAGTGCAATACTCATGAATAGGTGCTGTATGGGGACTGGTCTGTTCGGGTTACAGCCACTGATTAGACTATTTCCTTTTGACAGAAATGCAATTTTTTGCAGTCAGCTGTCTAGCACCATTATCAAGCTCTGCTTAGCTTGGGACTAGATGGCGCTTTTAATTGGTTTATTATTAACACTCACTTTTCCCGTAATTCTTGCGGTGTGCCTTTATCAGGGAACTGCGAACTGATAGCTTGGAATATGGTGAATATCGGAAACTGTTTATCAAGTGGTAAACTCTTATCTGCATCTTTAATCTCTTCTTTGTCTTTCTCTTTGTCCTTCTGTTCATTGTTTGTCTCTTTCTGTAAGTATTGTACAAAAAAAGTATTACTTACAAGATTCTTAGGGACTAAATTTTAATAAACATCAGTATCACTATATTTGTTTTCAACGGTTGCTAGTCTCAGAGATTGCATTGTCCAAATCGATTATTTTCAATATTTTTTTAATGATAATTACACAATTATCTTATAGCGCAATGGTTATTACCTCACCACTATAGCGTTATATATAATGTGACGAATTGACGCTACTTAGTTTATATCCTGTAGTATCTAGGTAGTGAGTGTAGGTGAGAGTAATAATTGTACTACATTAGTAAGTTTATATGATAGTGTCACTCAACGCAGAGACGTAACGTGGACTGCCTTACACTGAACTTAAATCTAAGTTATGTGGAAACGTAAACTAACGGAAGGGTGCCGAGTGTTGATAGATATATTACAAGTGTAGGCACAATATAAAATACATCATTCAATCAAAAATTCAATCAAGATAAGTTAAAACAATGTTTTATTCAATTGCACAATCTTACTAATAAATGTAGAAGTTTGTAAGTGTGAATAGATGAATGTTTGCTAGTCTTTGATGCAAAAACTACTGAATGGATTTTAATGAAACTTCACAATAAATTAGCTTATACATCAGAATAATTTATGCGGGTGAAACTGCGGGTACAGCAAGTAATACATACGTCATTGTCGTCCGTGGACTGCCTAGAGTCCCGATCTCGCCGCTCGTCTGCTACCTCCTCCCTGGTCTGGTAGGTGGTGAGGGCGTGCACCAAGTCCACGAACAGCTGGTCGTCTATAAACCCGCCCTCCTTGTCACCTGTCCACACCAAACATACACTTTACTCAACAGCTCTGTATTTTATTTGTTATATTTTAGTGGCATACAATGTAACACTCCGGATTTTTAGTAGCGTGGACTGATGACTCCATTTTTTTAATAGATAATAAAGGAATCATGCTCCAGCTAGCTCTAACGGTTTACGCTGGTGTAGATGATAAAATGAGCATGAGGTCAGGTCTGTTAGCCCATCGTGACAAATTCCTGGTGAATTTGTCCTTGTTCCTGGTGAATGGGCTAACTGGTAAGGTAGTCAGTTAGCCCATTGTGACAAATTCTTGACTTAATGGTTTCCAGGGAAGACATGCAGGTCAACCTGAAAAAGAATGACTTCAACATGAAGAAATCATGTGGAGATCATTCTTTTACACTGGATACCCTCGTGATAAATTGATGTTAAACTGATGATTCGTCACGATGGGTTAATTGATCTGACCTTGTGCTCGTCCTAACATCCTCCACTGCCAGAGTACACCGTTAGCGCAGACGGAAGCACCATTTCATCATTATTCATAAAAAAGCTCTGTCAGCTGACATAAGAAGAAAGTGTATAAATTTATATTTCTAATTGGTATCTCGGGTGATACCTTTATATAAACAACAAGAAAGACGGCAGTGGACTCGCCTATATATCTATATAGGCGAGTATTTGAAATATGTATACTTTATACTCCTAACATGAATCACATAAAGTGGTCCTTAAACCAAATCTTATTTATATTATAAACGTGAATGTTTGTGAGTATAGATGGATGTTTGTTACTCTTTCACAGAAAAACTACTGAACGTATTTTGATTGAAACTTTACAGTAATATAGCTTATGCATCAGAATAACATATAGACTATATATTTCACGCGTGTGACACCACGGGCACAGCTAGTGAGTCAAAAAGCGAAGAGAAGCACGAGAAGCGTGATGTAGAGTGAGGACGAAGGGCTGTGAGACGCTAAAAGAAAAGCTAGCTTTAAATATTTAATACAAAAATAGTCAGGAGCAGGATATTGCGATAAATAAAAAAAATGTGGAAATAATTCTTTTTTAACTTAAAAATATAAAGTGTGTGTGAACATATGATGTATATACTACTATAATGAGCTGAAAAAAATGTATATATGTCGTCGGTTAAAAAGAAAAATGGCAGTACTCAAAATGTACATTTTTGTCTTGTCTTGTAGGCAAGCATTTAAAAATTTTAAATTTATTTAAATTATTTTCCCTTTAAAGTTTTAAATTTATACAGAAGTATTATATATTATTTTAAAAGTATTTAGATAATGATTAAGACGGCTGGTTAATTTAATTGACTTATATAAAAGGAGGCAAGATCTTCTAATTTTGAAAAATGACATTACACAGAAGTATTACATATCATTTTAAAAGTATTTAGATAATGATTAAGACGGCGTGGTTAGGTTAATTTAATAAAAGGAGGCAATTCTAGCTTCTAATTTTGAAAAATGACATTTTTCTATTTAATCGATGATGTAAATTACCAATGTAAATTATTCTCAAGTGAAGTAAGTGGACAGAGCCAGTATTGGTATAAATACAAATTTAAAAATTTGCCTCGGTGGTCTATCTGTTTAGCAGACCGCTTTACTTCTGATGGTCGCAGGTTCGATTCATCGTACGGCGCAAATATTTGTATTCATGAGTATGATTGTTTGTATCATTCTGAGTGTTTTCTATGTATAATATGTATGTATTAACAAAATAAATGTTTATCTGTGTATTTGTATCAGTTTTCTAGTACCCATAACACAAGCTTTAAAAAGCTTAACTTGGATCTAGAGGCTGACCGAAAATGTTTAAAGATATAATCTTACCATTGCATGAAAACTGCACTATGTTTCTATAGCATGCTGTTATTAAACAACAGTCACTCGAGCAATGGCTCGGTCCACAAACAAAAACATATGATGATAAGCCAATGTACCATGCACTTTCCCGTCGTAGTTCTTTATGAGCTCCTCGATGAATGTACCATCCTGATCCAGGACCTCGTCGCCCATGTACGGGATATTGTGGAGCACCGTCTCGTCTTCTACCATAAAGTTTTTCTGCGTCGGTGCCCATGTATACATTGTGGGGATCGGACTCACCGAATTGATTATTCGTATCGGGACTTGCTGTGTTATTACAACCCCTGAAGCTGCAAGTATAAATAGAATTTATTATTAGAATAGAATAGAATAGAAAATCATTTATTCAAATTTAATTAATTTAAGCACTTTTGAATAGTCATAAATTTTTTTTTATCTACCGCTCCTTCGGAAAGCTGTCTTATCATAAGAAGAACGAGCAAGAAACTTGTGTGTTGCTCTTTTAAATAATCCTTGTAAGTTTACATTTACAAGTCGAAACGTGTGAATACAATATATATGTCTTTTTGTTGTAATATTTTATATTTATCTAAGTAAATAATAAGTAGAGAAATATACCCCGAAAAAAGAGTTTTAAAGCAAGAAAGAAAAACATTTATTGGCAACCGTTATTAACCACTATTAACACACATACATACACATATATAAGTATATGGTGATGTTAATTTAAATATTATAAAAGAAAAATTATAAACTGAAATATAAATTTAGAACATAGAGACATCTTTATTAGCTAATTACAACACACACGAGTCATATAGACCCTAATATTAAATACCTTGTACCTTTGCCTTCCTAGACAAAATAAAATACTATTTAAAAACTAGAAAATAACTGCTTTGTCACTTTCAAATTACTGTAAATAAATATAAAATATATATGATCAGCTCACCATCAGTATATGTGACCTCTGCGCGTTTCATTAAGCTTTCATGATTGGGTGCAGGTGATGGAAGAGGCCAAAAAGGCCTTCTTCCACGGTCAGGGCATTCCGATTCCCTTGTTTCAACTGCTTCTGACATTATCCTCAAATTTCGAGCCCAAGCCACTTTCACCTCGTCTGCGCGCTTAAACCTCTACGACAAAAACATTAACATCAGTTTATTTAGACCTAAATTTGACGGTGTAAGACAAAGAATTTATACTTGTTTTTTGTACCTTTACTTGGCGGAGTCGCATATACTCTGATTTTACTCTCTTTTTCCATTCTGCTGACACTTTAGATTTACTCATGTGTAAAGATTTTAATGTCACTTCTATTAAATGATCATAAAAGCAAACAACTAACGAAAGTATGTATTTATTTTATTATTTTGGTTAAATTCGGCGTTTACCGGAAACTGCCGGATCAGTGTGACCTTATTTCAAATTAAATAAGTGCTAAATACTAGTCTAAAAATTACTAAAATATAAAATCCAAATTGACGAAGTTATTAATACGCCTTTATACATTACGGTATTAAATTAAAATATAGAATCACATAATTATTACATAGAAAATTTTCAGAAAATAACATGCTATGTATTTATATTTTTTGTACCTCCTTGATAGTCCAAAATATAGATTACACTTATAGTTAAAAATTACTTGGCAGTTAGTGTATATTTTATTACTTTTATGTTTAGGCTGAACATTAATTATTACTCTGTCTTTCATAACATTTTATTTTTAAAAGAAAAATGTAAAAAAATATATTACCTTTTTTTCATTATTGTCTATGGTTTCTATTAAAAAGAAAATTGTGAAGCGAGCAACCCAATCAGCTAATGTCTTCGCTGCCATTTTATATTATATCAAATTGAGAAATATTAATTTTCCAAAAGGTGAGCATGACTATAAAGGTATATTTTAGTTACTTTCATTCATTTTTCTATACATTATTCGTACCATAAAATCAACCTTCGTATAACGTGAATCCATTCGGCTATGTATTACGTAATTTGTTGTCCCAGTCTTCATACAATTATTGACATATACCACGAAACATGCAAAACACGCGTACGAAAGTTTCTCCAGCGCGGAACGTAGAGTTGCTGTCTACACCGAAAAGTTGTTCTGTTTGTAGGTGTGTGCGTACCTACATACTGCCGCAGGTTATGCGAAGACGCTCATTTAAGTATGTCGTCGTATCGCGGCAATGGCGCGGGCGGCGCGTGGGACGGGGGCCCGCCCGGCGCAGAGTCGGAGTACCCGCAGGCCCCGCACTACGCCGCGCCGCCGCCCCGCGCCATGCCCAGCACTGACCCCTGGACCGGGGTCAGCTACAGCCAGTACGGGCCCCCGGCCAATTACGGCTACCAGTCGTACGGCAGCGGCTATGGTTACGGTTACGACTCTAATTATTATCAGAGGCCTGAATCAAACTACTATCCTAATTCCCGTGCTGCATACCCTTCCACACAGCAGGCCGGTTATGAGTATCCACAACCGCCAGGTGATAGATCACATTCCCCTGTTGAGTCCCGAAATTATAATCAACGGCGGACTTATAGATCCCAATCACGAGGTGGTTCTCCATATGAAAGAAGAGATAGATCTTATTCAAGAAATAGAGAAAGCAGTTATGAGAAATCTAAAAGACGCAAGTCTAGAAGCAGGTCCAAAGAGTCAAAATATTCTTCGAGTGACCATTCAACCTCTCGGTCTAGATCTTATTCGCGGTCTTCTTCAAGGAAAGATAAAAAGAAGAAGAGATCACCATCGTCGGATTCGTCTGCCTCTGACAAATCTTACAAGAATAAAAATAGGAGAAACCATCCCCGTGATAGTTCACTTACACCGCCTTTAAAAAATAGAAGAACTTCCAAATCTCGAAGTCGCTCTAGATCTCACAGAACTCCTAGTGTAGGTAAATCAAGTAGCAAGTCACCGAGACTACATAATTATAAAGAGACACAAAAATATTCAACAAAATACCATTCCAGTAAAGACTTAAAGATTAATGAAAGAAAACATAGGGATATTAGTACTCCACCTAGAAAGCGAAGAGATGCATTGACTCCTCCGAGGGCCCACAAAACATCAGATAGATCATCTTTAACACCGCCAAAAAGTTATAAGAAATCTGAAAGTTATGTTTCTCCAAAAAGATATAAACATAAGGAGCGAGACTTCAGCCCTTCTACTAAGAAAGGAAAACAAGGTTCTTTGACTCCCCCAAAAAGTTATGCTCGAAGCAGCTCAACTTCCAGCTCTAAATCTCGATCTAGATCTTCATCACCGCGACAATCAAAACGTAAACATCGTAGCAGCTCCCCCTCTAGTTCTAGTCAGTCATCAGCTAAATCTGGTCGATCCAGGTCCAGATCAAAACGGCGAACTACAAAAGCCATTTCAAAACGTACATCTCGGTCCAAAAGTCGGTCAAAACGTCGCTCAAGTAAAAGCAGATCAAAGTCACGTAGAAGATCGAAATCAAGAGGTAAAACTAAGACAAAGAATCCCAAAAAGTCTGTATCACCTAGTTCTCGTTCACGTAGTGGCAGCCACAGTGAGTCAGGAAGTGATGACGAGAGACGTGGACAATTTACTGTGGCAGATAGAAAGCGTTTCTGGAAACTGCATCGAACTAGACAAGAAGAAAGAGAAAAGGAAAAAAGTCCTGTAAAAGAAGTAAAACCTCCGCCAGGAGCACTCGAATCCACTCGAATAGATGATGTACAATATGGTGATCCACCTGAGGTAGAGGGACCAAACTTTGCTGAACTACTGCCCCCACCTGACCAACTCATGCAGGCTGCATCCTCATCCAAATCTAAGCCTATTCCAATACCGATTAAGAATGATGGCAGTTTCTTGGAGATGTTCAAGAAGATGCAGGGGGAAACAAAAAAAGAGGATGAGGATAAGAAACCTATAATGAAAAAACCTGTTTTACCATTCATTGGTAAAAGACGTGGTGGAAGAGTGCTTAAGACTGGTATGGTAAAGAAGGCCAAGGCAATAGATGAACAGACGGTAGACAGCACGCCTAAAGATGCATGGTCTCTGTACATGCAAGAAGTTAAAAAGTACAGGGAGACCTCTTGTGAGGAAGAAAGAAAGACCAGACCCTTGGTCAAATAGTATTAAGACTATAGTGTTAATTTTTTATTATGACCTCTTTAATGTATAATTTCACATTGACAATATTATTTTTTACTCTATAACGTGTTTGTAATCAAAAATTAGACCCCGGAACAGTTGATTTTATATTGTGGAACAGGTATTCCTAATAACAATAAAGAATTATGAAAATGTATGTGGTATTGTGTTTGTTTCCAGCAAAATGCCCGAGATCATCAAATCGGCCGCCGACATCAAAACAGCACCTTTCGACCCGCGGTTCCCTAACCAGAACCAGACAAGGTAATGTCGTAATCCATTTAGACCGTCGTTGGACGAGAGCGTGACCCTGTAAAAGATATCGAGCGTGACTCTGTCAAACCGAATTTGGCTGACATGCGACGCCTGAAAATATGTGTTATGTACATTACTAATAGAGTGCCTGGTGATGAAAACACTAAACAACCAAAACTCTCCCTCTGCCAGGAATACAATGCCAATGTAATTATTGCATATATTTATATAACCTCAAAGGATCTGCCCTATTAAAAATGAAATCTGCACCAGTGTGTATTGAAGATTTCTTAAGAGTCGGCAACGCGCACGTGACGCCCCATTAGATGGGCTGTATGCTTGTTTGTCACCATCGTAGTATAAAAAAAAGTTATTTTTCCTTGTGTTGGTAGTACTTCCTATAGAACAATCACACAATTCGTTTGATATCCCTAACCCCATATATTGAAGGAATAATGAGGGTGACAACCCTTAACAAGAACATTTGTAAGTAAATATATACTATTTGTTTATATTTATGAGTTATAAGGACGTACTAGTTATGTCTGCTTTAAATTAATAAGAAATAGCCTATGTGTTAATCCGATGCATAAGCTATATTACTATAGAGTTTCATCAAAATCCGTTCTATAGTTTTTGCGTGAAAGAGTAACAAACATCCGTACTCACAAATTTTCGCGTTATAATATTACTAGCTTTTATCCGCGGCTTCGCTCGCATTAAATCATTAAATAAGTATCTGAGAACATTACTGACTTGAACTTCATTACTGACTGCTAGATGGTGCTGAATTAGCAAAATTTGATATTTTATATAATTTTTTTTTTTTTAAATATAAATTATAATATGTTCATTCTATGTTAATAACTATAAATATTAACATTAATTAATTAATATAGATATTTAAATATATTTGTGAGTATTCGTAATGTAATGACAATTTTATATTAAATTGAATATGATTTAATTTGAATATTTGCATACCTCTAAGGGGTGCTGCATGTCATGTACTTTTATTAGTTAATACGATCCGAAACCATCATGTAGCAAGCAAATAAATAAATTATTATTATGCTCTGGGATATAAAAAAATGAACAATATGGTTATCACAGGACGATCTGCTGTTCACGTATATACACGATGTTATAACACCCCTAGTGTCTCAGGTGTCCATAGGCTACGGTAACCATTTACCATCAGATGGGCCGTGGCAACGGTGGCAAACAACCATTGTTTGCCACCATAGTAGTGTAAACTGTATGCCACTTCGCATCAGGTGGATTTTCAGCATTGTTGCTACTCCAGTTATGCACAAAAATATATATAAAACATGTGATTTCTTCTAAATACTTCCAAACAAGAGATTCACATGACCGAATACGCAGATAGAAGCTAGTTTTAAATGAACTAATATATTAAAAACGTTCACAATTATATTATTTCCTACCCCACAATGACTCCTGAGATTTCAATGGAAGATAATGGAATGGTGCAGCCCTCTGCGCTAACGGTTTACGCTGGCAGGCACTAATAGAGTATGATAGGGTGGGATGGCGTTTGTTAGTAATGTGGACTAATGATTCCATTGCTAGCAATGTACCATGTCAGGTCGACCTCCACGCGGTTCCCCCTGGAAACCATCGTGTTAAATTCTTGGTGAATTTGTCACAATGGGCTAACTGACCTGACCTCATGCTCATCTTATCATCCTCCACTGGTGCCCCGCCAGCGTAAACCGTTAGCGCAGGCGGGTGCACCATTCCATTATCATCCACAAAAAAAATGGAGTATGATAATGAAGTCTGACCTGACTTGCCCATAGTGGCGAATTTACCAGAACCTGACAACGATAGTTTCCAGGGTCCCTCTGGAGGAGTGTAGGAGTCCTCCGTGTAGTTAGGTTAGTTATCCGTGGTAAATGCTTTAGGAATTTATGACAAAGGTTTCTAGGGGGAACCGCATGGAGGTCAACTTAACATGGTTCAGTGCTCTCTATATACTCATTATTGGGGTCATCAGTTCTCATCTTACAATCCCCATCCCAGGCATGTGTATGCTGTTACAACATAATATATATATCCAATGTTATTCTAGATTGCTTAGAAAAATCAAAAGAAATACATATAATAAATTTTACCAAAGAATACTAAATGATATACTGGAATTACCTAAATATATTTAAGATATCTGTTAAATCATATTGAGCAGTCTTTTATTTACTAAACGATTATTTAAATGACAAACGTACATGGCAATAGTTGTTCATACACGAGGTTTTCATTTAATGTTAGATACCTATAGGTACAAGTAAACAATCTGATTTTTAATAAAAACTTTAGTTGAATTTCTTGCTAATTCTTCTCAACTGGATCTGTATACTGAACTGGACGATAGGGAAAAAATATTAATACAAAAAACTTGATGTTCATAAGCGGGTAAAATACATGAATAAATAATTTTTGATTTGAAAGGTTTCAAATAGTGAAAGTATTTCCCAAATTTATTTTTCTCATAACAATATCCGCTTTCTCAATAATGATATTAATATAGATGAAAAATTAAAGGCAAAATTTATAAAAATATATTATTATCATACTTGAGGCCTCGGTGGTCAAGAGGTTTACCACAGTGCTTTACTTCCGATGGTCGCGGATTCGATTTCTTTGAAGCATGAATACAAACATTTGTATTCATGGCTAGGATTATTTGTATCGGTCTGGGTGTTTACTATATATAATATGTATGTATTTACGAAAAAAATGTATTTGTATCAGTTACCTAGTACCCATATTACGAGCTCTGTTTAGTCCGGGACTAGATGGTGCTGTGTAAATTGTTGTAGGTTATTATTATTGTTATCTGTATCTGAATATCGGATTTATGTTTCCAGACATTGCTACCAGAGCTACCTAGATTTCTACCGTTGCCAGAAGGTACGCGGCGAGAAGTACGAGCCATGCAACTACTTCAAGAGGGCATTTAAGTCCCTCTGTCCCAACGAGTGGATTGACAAATGGGACACCCAACGCGAATCGGGCACATTCCCGGGCAGAATTTAAGCTGTACCATAGCAAATGTTAATTTATGCAAGTCTAATTTTATTTTAAACTAGTATTGTGCGTGATATAGGCAATATAATGAGTTGATTACCATTCTTGTTTTATTGTATTTTGCATATATGTATTAGTATATTTTTTATGGATGATAATGGAATGGTGCACCCGCCTGCGCTAATGGTTTACGCTGGCAGGTATCAGTGGAGGATGATAAAGCCAGGCCAATTAACCCTTCCTGGCAATTTCACCAGGAGTTTACCACGATGGTTTCCAGTGGGAATCGCGTGGAGGTCAACCTGATTGCTAGCAATGAGGTTATTAGACCACGTTCCTGACAATCCTCACCCCTTCTAAATATGTATGTATTTCCAAAAATGTATTTAAGTATTTATATCCATTGTCTACCTATAACACGAGCTCTGCTTAGCTTGGAATTAGATGGATGGATAAATATTGCATTTTATATATGGAATTGTAAATGCTGTCGATCCACCTAATGGCAACTGTCGCTTATATTCCTGAAAGGAACAACTGATACGATGGCCGTGGTACTTTGAATGTGTTGTAATTCCGGAAGGTTTTTTTTAATGGATGATAATGGTATGGTTTACCCTTGCTACTGCGCTGACGGATTACACTGGTGGTGCACCAGTCGAGGATGATAAGATGAGCATGAGTTCAGGTCAGTTAGCCCGTCGTGGTAAATTCACCAGGAATTTGTATCGATGGTTTCCGGGGGGAACCGCGTGGAGGTCAACCTGATATGGCATATTGCTAGCAATGGGTGATCAGTTCACATTACTAAAAATTCCCTTCATCCTATTTCCGGAGGGTTAAAATAAAGCCTACATAATCTCACTACCCTATTTTTCAAAATAGAGATCTTTTCAAGAATTGCATTCTTGCGAATGCGAAATGGGCGGATTGAATTGGATGGAGGATCGGTTGGAGGGGAGCGTATTAAAAAATTAGAAACTTGTGTTTCGGACGTCCAAAGGCCGGTAACCGTTTACCATCAGACGGGCCGTATGCTTGTTTACTAGCCTCCTAGTATAATAAAAAAGGAAACAAAAGTACAATATATTAGATTTATTTATTGGAATTGGAGTGTTTATATGGGTCCAGGGAACGCGCCCTTGTCTCTCAGCTCGTCCCAGTGAGAGATCCATTGATTTGGGCAGATGGTCTCGAAGTACCGTTTGAAGATCTTACAGTCGTCCACATCTCCGAGCAGCCGGGTGCACTTGTAGTAGTCACAATAGTTGTCGTAACACGCTCTAAAATTAAATTTGAAGTTAGGACAGGGCTCCAATGGTCACGGTTTTTTTAATGGGTTTTTTAAATAGATAATACTGGAATGATGCACACGACGCCTACGCTAACGGTTTACGGTGGCAGGGCAGTACTGGAAGAGGATAAGATGAACGTGAGGTCAGTTCAGTTAGCCCATCGTGACAAATTGACTTTATCATGATGGTTTCTAGTGGGAACTGCAGACATGGTACATTATTAGCAAGGGTGACCCGCCTGCGTGAACGGTTTACGCTGGTAGGGCACTAGTGGAAGATGATAAGATGAACATGAGGTCAGTTCAGTTAGCCCATCGTGACAAATTCACCAGGACTTTATCATGATGGTTTCTAGGGGGAACTGCAGACATGGTACATTATTAGCAAGGGTGACCCGTTTGCTAGCAAATGTTAGGTTTTTTTTTATTGATGATAGATGTAAGATGAAATCGTTCACGCAGGCGGCGTGAACGATTTACGCTGGTAGGGCACTAGTGGAAGATGATAAGATGAACATGAGGTCAGGTCAGTTAGCTCATCATGACAAATTCACAGGGCTTTACAGAACTCACAGGACTTTATCACGATGGTTTCCAGGGGTAACTATAGATATGGTACATTATTAGCAAGCATGAGCCCTTGCTAGCGGATCCCATAACTAGCAATATACCATGTTAGGTTGACCTCCACGCGGTACCCTCTGGAAACCATCGATCATATATCATCCATAAAATATAAAATAACTCTTTGCTAGGAAATGTTGTTTCACAGTCCACTTTATTTGACCCTTCTCCACGAATACAAACATTTGCATGCAACAACAAATGTGTTGCATATTATTTAAGTATTTATTGTTACTGTGATTTGAAAATTTCAAATTCATTCTTTCAAAGACCTTTCGTTGTGGGTGCATTGTTACTTACCTTGTTTGATTTGTGAAAGGATACCGCGGGTCGATTCGTATCGTCCTGAATTCTTGATCGCACATATTGAACTATAATTAGGAAATAATTGTATATTTTTATATAAAACGATGTCAATATGACATACAATAAAACAAATGAATAGTAAGTACTTATATATTTTTCTATGCAGCTCAGATTTAAAACTATAAAACAATAGAGGCTCTGATATGAACAACAAACTTTTTTGATAAAATTATACAGTAATAATTAAAATTATAATAGAATTTCTCAGAGTCTATTCTCTCTGGTTGCTTTTAATGTTGGCGATTCACGATCACCGTATCATCATCTACTGTTGCTCCGCCAGCGTATACTGATAGCACAGGTGGGTGCACAATTTAATTCAAATTCAAATACAAAAATCATTTATTCATGTAGGACATTTTAGCCGCTTATGAGCGTAAATTTTTTTACATTATAATTTTAATTTTTTCACTTTTCATATGTATGAGAATGGAATGGTGCACCCGCCTGCGCTAACGGTTTACGCTGGTGGGGCACCAGTGGAGGGTGATAAGATGAGCATGAGCTCAGGTCTGTCAGCTCATCTTCGCAAAACTCAATTTACCACGATGGTTTCAGACAAATATGTCCAACAATAGGTTATTACTCCACATTACTAAGAATCGCCTTATCCCTATTAATATATATTATTTTTAACTATCCCACGGGAACTCTTTAATTTTCCGTGATTAAAAGTATCTAAGATGTTGACCGGGGGTGTATGCTTTCTGCATGCAAAATTTAATTTAAATCAGTTCAATCAGAATCAATCAGACAGTTATTACGGTCAAATATAAATACACAATAAGATTAAATCAGAATGTAAGTCTTGGCTAAGTCTATTCTGAAATTGGTTAATCTAGTTGTATATATTAATTTTGTACCTTACTTATATCTATATAAGGATGCATTTTGTTTGGTCGATACTATTATCAACCAATAAAAATAAACATCCTAAACCTACATAAGTCATTAGATATGCACTATTTTGTACAATAAAGATCGATAATTTATTCATAAGTATGATACATCGATGGCCGCAACTAAGTGCTCAGTTTACGAATGTACCCGGAAAGCTGCAGTCCTCGATGAATGGCGCCGTATTCCCAAAAACCTCGCTCATGGTGATTCAAAATGTTGACCACGACCATTCTGACAAGAGTGTACTAAGAAGAAGAATGACACATCGATACATACCGGTATCGATTCTTTTGTATTATTTATTGCCTTTATTTGTTATTATTATTAATATATAATTTAATACACACTTAACACGTCGTCTATACATATAAATAAAATTGGAATGTCTGTTTGTAATATTTATATGAATATAAATATGGTATATACGCCAAAATAACACTTTTTACAATTTTTGACTGTCTGTCTGTTTGTTCCGGCTAATCGATTGCTGAGCCGATTTTGACGGGACTTTTTTTGGCAGGTAGCTGATTTAATGAGGAAAAATTCTCTAATTAACTTTTTTGTTAAATTCCACGCAGACGAAGTCGCGGGTACAGCTAGTTTATAAATATATATATAAGGTCAAATTTATAATTAACTATTTCATATTTTTTTAAATAAGTGACAATGACTCATGTAGTTACGTTTTAATAAATAAATGAAGTTTAAACAAACTTTCTGTAGTCAAATTGTATTAGTAGTTTTACTACAAGATACTATAATTACCAGTCAAAAAGTACACCAGTAAACATATCACAAGAAAACGTAATAGGTATCACACCGAACACGTATCGATATATTTTCTAAGGAATCAATCATTATGAGAGAAATAATACCGAAAGGTATCGATATTTTATTCACATCTCTATTAGGAGTAGATATGTACCGACACCACTTACTATGAAAATTGAATCAGTATCATACTAAAATGTATCGATACATTTTCTATACGATAACAATTGCGTTATGGGATACTCGATACTCGCTACCGAAGTAATCGATAATTTATCCACATCTCTATTAGGAGTCGATAGATACTAATACCACTAACTATGAAAATTAAATCGGTATTATACTAAAAAGTATCGATACATTTTCTATAGAATATTGAGACTTTCGTTAACAATAACTAACGATTGCGTTATAGGATAAATACTTAATACCGAAAGATATCGATACTATATCCACATCTCTATTAGGAGTCAATAAGTATGGCTAAGTCAATTCTATCACATATTTCAGGCGATTTATTATCAATGGATATCGCTATCGGAGTGCTTCCCGCTGGACACGCTCACATACTGCTGCTGCCTGTGCAGGATGCCCAAGCATTGCAGGAGGCATTGCATATTCGCCGCTGATGTCGCCTGGAATCAATACACACATAATTACAATAGAACAGAATCATTTATTCAAATAAACTTACATTGAAACACTTTTGAATAATCATCACATTTTTTCAATCTATCGCTCATTCGGAAAGTCTCATCTCAAGCAAGAAACTTGCGTTCTAATGCTGTTGGCCGCAGCTGGCCTTTACAGCTTCACCGGACGTTAGGGGGCGAGTGTAGATGGCACTCCAAACCCGCGGAAGGACTTATGGAGCGGCGGAAGGCCAACTCCTGCCTGACGGATACGACTTTAGTCTTGTCAAAGACTATAATTCTATGCGTGTGTTACACACATGGTGGTATGTGTAATGTTTCTTTTTTATTGATTAAAATGTACTTTTTTAATAGCTGTATTATAAATACCTTCAAAAGCAACAGGTCAGGATCAGTGTGCGGGAACGGCGAGTCTGATGACTCTATACATCTCGCCAAAGCAGCATCGCTGTGAAAGTGGTATTTAAAATTATTTGCCTCTCTTTTCAGTATAATAGTGGTGAAATTTATACTGTGTGTGATTGAAAAGATATGTCTGTGCTTGCACGTAGATTAGTGGTGTGTGATTGGTGTTATATTTATACAACATAATCTAAGGCACATATAATGAGCATTAAAGATTTCACCTCAATTCTGTGGCCTGTAGCTGCTGCCTCGCTGACGCCATGGCGTCGTGGACAGCAAGCTGTTCCCGGGGTTGTAATGGTGGGTTGGCTCCCATTGCCTGTAATTTATAAATTCAAACACATATCCTTTATTCGCGGGTTCGATTCCTCGCACGGCACAAACATTTGTATTCATGAGTATGATTGTTTGTATCGGTCTGGGTGTTTTCTATGTATAATACGTATGTATTTACGAAAAAAAAATTTATCTATGTATAATATATCTAGTACCCGTAACACAAGCTTTATATAGCTTAACTTGGGACTAGATGGCTCTGTGTGAATTGTCCTGAGATTATTATTATTATTATTAAAAACAAAACAAATAAATAAATTATTAAGATTGAGATATATAAAGTTATTTACTTTAGTGTGTATTTCGGCTATTGCTCGCAGACTGTTCACCCATTCCTGCCTGGCTCTGGCATCTGTTGCTCTCAACTTGAGCATATCACCAGACGCACAGTTGATGGTGAATGTGCGAGAGTCTTCATCACTGGGACATATCACCGCTGCAGCCAGGTGTGCCTGTTCCAAATATACATGTTATCCACACGGTTCGCCTCTGGAAACCATTGTGATAAATTCCTGATGAATTTGTCATAATGGACTAACTTCCTGCTGAGGTTTTCCCACGAGACTACAGCATGGGGTTTTTCAAGAAGGGTATATGAAGGTTTTTTAAGGGTTGGCAATGGGCATGTAATATATAGGTATTTCAGGTGTTTCAGGTGTTCATAGACTACGGTAACCATTTACCATCAGATGGCCTATATGCTTGTTTGCCACCATTGAAGTATAAAAAAAAACTGACCTGACCTCATCATTCATCTTATAATCCTCCACTGATGCCCCACCAGCATAAACCAATAGGACAATTCCATTATTGTCAGTAAAAAAAAAAATGCATATCAGTCAATCAATAATTCTTTACATAGTAAAAATAAATTAGGAAACAGATTTTAACACAGTTTTTAGCAATGTATAGATAACCTTCCTCAAAGGAATGGACTATAAAATGTAAAAAGATTTTTTTGCTAAACTATCAGGCATTGTTTTCTTTTTTTGAGGATGATAATGGAATGGGGCACCCGCCTGTAACCAGTGGAAGATGATAAGATGACCATGAGGTCAGATCAGTTAGCCAATATGACAAATTCACAGGGAATTTATCACAATGGTTTCCAGGCGGAGCCGCGTGGAGGTCAACCTCAGCAAGCAATGGGATCATTACTCCACATTACTAACAATCCTGTTCCCCCTCAGGCGTTATGTTGTACAAAGAAACATACCTTCAGCTTTCATTTATTAGATCATTATAGATTAGAATAAGCACAACACACCTCTCCTCTGGCCGGCTGTCCTGGTGGTATACTATCTCCAGGTCCATCATACAAGTAATAAGAGAGGACACCAGTTTCAGGATCCACCGCAAACCACCGTTGCTGCCACCCCTTAACAACGTTTGTGTATTTATAAAGCTGACCCGATAAGGGTCTATGAGAACCAGATCCCAGGCTCGACGTTTTCATCATTTTAATTTCAATAAAATTTATAGAAACACACAAAACAAATTCTGATAATAATAAGCACAGATAATTAGCTAATTGTCGTCTGACTGTGTGACTGACACAGCAAAACAATGATATGTCAGTCAGTGACTGTGACGCGCATAGACGCCGAGTATTTTTTTATTATAGCCCCAGCGATTACACTTGTTATTAACCATTTTCTAGTTCATTTTTATAAAACGGGAAAATCGCGTGTTTCAATAAAGTGGTAAATTAGGGACTGCATTACAGGGTCAGGATCAGGAGTGAAAATGGTTCGGAAGAATATATTCTATGTACCTATATGCATAATTGTAATTACTTTGATAATGAAAATTAGCTAGAGCACGTATTTATCCAACCACAGGTCAACTTAATCACGCTGTGCTTGTACTCGAAATTTTGTTGCTTATGACCAAGCAAAGAATAAAATCATTTATTCAAATAAACTTACACTGAAGCACTTTTAAATAGTCATCACATTTTTTTAAATCTACCGCTCGTTCGGAAACCTGTCTCATCACAAGAAGAACGATCAAGAAACTTGTATGTTGCTCTTTTAAATAATTTTATACATACTTTACAATTTAAGTTTATGAATACAAACTACCGATTACCACTAATTCAATTGAATACACAACAACTAGGTAAACTATTAATAAGAGGAAATTAGTCATAGTGATTAGAAAGAGTAAAGTAAATATTCAAAAAGGTTATGACTTTCTATAAATGCATTCACATCACTAATATGTCAGTCAATAATTGTCATTCATTGATTGACAGATAGTATTTTTTAAAAAATGATATCATCCACTTGTATAAACTTGTTTTTATTTATTGCATGACTTACTTTATGTTCCTGATATCTGAATAATTGTTGATTCAACTGCATTCCAATACTTTAATATACACCACAGTTTGTAATCCGTTATTGTAACTTTATGTAGTGTAAAATGGTTTTTAAACTTGTAAGAACTGATTCCGAAGACCCCTATAAGATACAGCTTGAAATTGGTACCCATTTGATTGGAAGGGGTAAATTCCTGAATGTAAGTATAAATACTTTATTTAAATTGGTATTAAATTATAAAGTATACTATATCGATTTATGTTGATGTAGAGGTCTAATCAAATCGTGACTAAAGATTAGATATAGGACATCTAATCTTTCATATTTATATTAGTAATATCATGATATAGAAATAATCTAGTTTAAGTTTACGAGGGATTATCAGGCCTTAGCAATCAACTAACCCAATATACTGTATCTCTGGTAACCAAATTTTATTCTGTATTAAAAATAAATTCATGTTTATGTTTATCAACTAGCTGTTCCCGCGACTTCGTCTGCGTGGAATTTAACTTCTAGAATAAAAATAGTTTAAGTTACTCCTTATTACATCAGCTACCCACCAATAAAAGTCCCGTCAAAATCAGTCCAGCCATTTCAGAGATCAGCCAGAACAAACAGACAGACAGATAAAAAGTGTAAAAAAATATATTTTGGTATATGTGCCGTATTTATATTCATGTGCATGTAGTAAAAACAGTTATTTCAATATTACAAACAGACACTCCAATTTTATTTATATGTATAGATAACAAATCAGATTATCTGGTAGAGGCTAGTGATCGAACTCTTTCAGTACTGTACTGTAGTGAGTCTAGAATTACTACAGCCCATTATTATCCATTAAAAAGACTATACATTTAAGTTTTTATTATGTTTTATTTTTTTAGTGCGACGATAAAAGAGTGTCCCGAAACCATGGAGAATTACAAGTCAGTGAAGATACAGTCATCATTAAAGCGGTGAGATACTAATATTAATATATATAACCCAGGATGACATACAGCACTTAGCGTCTAGTCACAAACTAAGCAAAGCTTAAAGGTCACTAGGCAAGGATAGACATATATATATTCCTTTTTTTAAATACATACATAATATTCATGGAAATCAACTAGACTAGACCAATACAAATAATCATACTCATGAATGTAAATGTTTGAACTATGTAAGGTATCAAACCCGTGACTATACAAGGCAAGTTAATGTGCTAAACTGTTGGACCACTGAAGCTGTTTACTGAAAATATACTTTTACTATTCAGTATGCAATGAGGTCCTGAGTTCAATTCCCAATTTAAAAGATATAAGTGCTTAGTTTTTGTTATAGGAGTTTCAGTGCTCTTTATTTTTCAAAATATAATGATAAAAAAAATCTGTCAATGTTAAATATTCATACACCTAAACACAATTGTCTATATGTTTCAAAGGTTTATATACTCAGAAATTTAAGAATTTAGGTACTTTGTTGTTTACTAAAATCAAACCCAGGGCAATATAAAAAAGAAATTAAAATGACTGAACTTTATTTAAGTCAAGAAACACACATGTTGTCGAAGAACCCTGAATTATAGATTATTTTGTAATAAATGTGTATTATAAATTGTTTTGTTATTTTACAGCTACATCAAAACCCATGTTTCTACTTAAAAAAAGATAAAGAAGGCACACAGAATACAGAAATATTAAGGCAGAATTGTAGTGTAGCCCTCAATAATGGGGATAAATTTGGAATGTTGCCAGACTCCTGTTGGTACGAAGTTTTATATTGTACCATCTCTGATGTGAATAAAACACCTGAAGATCAGGGAGTTGATGAAAGTGACAGGTATACAGTAAACACAGAGATAATGGATGACAATGTGATAGTCGAGCATTTTGATGAAGAAAAAGAAAAAAGACCAAAATGCAATGATGCACCAGCATCTCCGTCTCTTTTAGATTTTGATAAAGAAAAAGAACCTCCAAGAACGAAATACGATGAAGGTGATACATCAGAATCTGCATCTCTGTTAGGTATGTATGATAATAGTGGGGATTTATTTATTTGACAGCCTCCATGGTCTATCCTTTACACCAGCTTGCTTCTATTGGTCGCGGCAAATTCGATTCCTCTCACGATACAAACATTTGTGTTCATGAGTATGATTGTATTGGTTTAGATATTTTCTATGTATAATATGTATTTAGAAAACAATGTATGTATTTATATTAGTCGTCCAGTGCTAGTATTAGGTGGCGCTGTGTGAATTGTCTGGGGATATTATTATTTATTGAACCAGAAGAATATTGCAAAGAATATAAATTACTCTATAATTTCTCTTCTTTGCAATATACTTGTAGGTGAACAAATTATCACATTGTAAATTTCTGTAAATAGTGAAGTCTTAGCTAGTACAGTATGTCTTAACTGCTGTACGTAATTTCTAAAAAGAAAATTAAGATCCCTAACAAATGTCGCATGTGAATCCAATGTAACTTGTTATATCTTTAAATACATAGTATAAAACAAAATCACCATCACTGTATGTTCCCTTATATCTTTTAAATTACGCAACGGATTCTAATGCACTTTTCAGCAATAAATAGAGTGTTACAAGATCGAGATTTATATTTATAGAACATGCGTGTTATTCTATAGAACAAACTGCGAAATTCAAAGATTTGTAGGTAATGCATCTATGTGAAATCGGAATGAGTCACTTGTACTGTATAAAAGCAATTTATTTATTTATTTATTTATAATTGCACATAAATTTACATATGATAAATTAACAATACACATAGACTCTGTTTAAAGAGTATGGCAATTTCGTAGATGACTCATTCCCATAATGAAATTTAAAATTTAGATCTGTTGTAGTGTCTAGTTAGCTCCTATTGTACGTTTGTTAAAAATTCTTTTACTGTATAGTAAGCTTTGTCGATCAGTAGTTCTTTAAGCCTTATTTTAAATAAATTGCAATTGCATTTCAGATGAACACCCCATAAAAATAGAAGCAACCCTAACAACAGATAATACAAGCAAGAATAATGATGGTGAAGCAAATGACGAAAATGCTATAAAAAGATGTCATAGTCCAACACAAAACAGTGATGATGCGTCTACAAAAAAGGTGAAGACCGAAGAAGACATTAAGCAAGAAGCAGAGGATGTACAGCCTGGACCCAGTAATGATCAATTGGTACAGTACACCAACCTAGATTATTGTAGTCAATTTATTATTTACTACCTTATCTGTCAGTCCGCTTAATAAAATAAGGATGCACATATTATTTCACTTTCCTTCTATAATTTTCATCATTCAGAGAACTTACGTCTCCTCACATTCAAACGTGATAGCAACACTTTCAATCGGAATTTTCCCGTAAATATATATATATTTTGCTGTACTTGGAAATAGTTGCCAAAGTACCTTTATGCATGCAATTGCAAATGCAAGTTTCATATAATCCTTCATCAGGGATGAAAATTATATGAAACTTTGTAGATAGATCCCCTATTTTATCCCTTTGGGGGTAGAATTAATCAAAATCCTCATAACACGTCATAACATCTGCCTGCATGCCAAATTTCAGCCCAATCCGTCCAGTGGTTTGGGCTGTGCGTTGATAGATCACTATGTCAGTCACCTTTGGGTTATATATATTTAGATTAATCTACATGTTAATGTGACAATTTGTTTTTTTAATATTCTGTGTGATTTGCAATCTGCCATTAATTATCAACTTTTTTTTTTCAGAATGCTAATGATACGTCTCAGGATAAAAAATCTCCGCCTACTCCAGCAAAACCACAACAATCTCAATTGCGGGAAAGGTGTATATATGGTGCTAGCTGTTACAGGTATTTAGTATGGCACATTTCATTTTATTAATATAGTTCAACGAGTTTTAGCATGAGTAATTTTATGGTAATTACCTCTCTCGATGTTTAGCTACATTTTTTAATAGATGATAATAGAATGGCACACCTTACGTCTGCGATAACGGTATATGCTGGCGGGGCACCAGTAGAGGATGATAGGATGAGCATGAGGTCAGGTCAGTTACCACAACGTTTCCAATAGTAGTAATCCTAACCTAACGTTAAGTAATCTTAACCTAATGTTTTAAACTATTGTGTGAATAAGTCACACAATAGTTAAAAACATTTAATTTAAAAAAAATCTTTAACCTATTGACGGGTGCGTAATCGTCGGTAGTGCGTAGTGTAACGTCGTTACGTAATGATATCTGCGCGTGACTGAACTGCGATCAAGCCTTCCTCTCGAATCACTCTATTATTTATAAAAAGGGATACGAAGTTTTACCTTCACGTATTTCAATATTTCGTAATGCAATTCTTGTTTACAGGAGAAACCCTCAGCACAAGACGCAGTTCAGTCACCCGGCGGACGCGGACTGGGGCGGCGGCGAGCGCGGGGAGTGTCCGTGGGGCCGCGCGTGCCGCCGGCGCGACCCCCGCCACTGGCAGATACACCAACACCCGCCCGGCACGCAGCCGCCACCGCCGCACGCCAGACCAGGTCCGTATGTCATAACGGGATGGCACTCGTTAACTTTTTTTTAATTTTTCGACGATGGCAGCAACCATCCATATTTAGATTTTCGTAACTTCGTCTGCATCACACTTATATGACATTTATCATTTATTTCGCCCAATTTACATAATATCTTTTTAATTATAGCCTGTTAATTATTCTGATGTATAGCTCTATTACTGTAAAGTTTCATCGAAATCGAATTCTGTAGCTTTGCTTGAAAGATTAGCAATCATCCGGCCATCGTCCATCCATACTCACAAACTTTCGCGTTTATAATATTATGACCCTCGTAACTTTTTTTTAGACTACGATGGTGGCAAATAAGCTTACGGCCCATAATTAACTCTGCATGCCATTTTCCTTATTTTTGCAACATCTTTAATCGCAACTTCGCTCCTATTGGTCATAGTGTGATGCTATATAACCTAGTCTCGGTCAGTGGGCTATCCAACAGTAAAAGTTCAAAATCAAACACGTAGTACTAGAGATCACACCAACTTACAACCGATGGTCGCGGGTGCAATTCTTCGGACGGTACAACAGTGCGGTTTCAGACGAGTTTCCTCCCGCGTACACTTAGATTGTGGAATGAACTTCCTGCCGAGGTTTTCCCACGAGACTACAGCATGGGGTTTTTCAAGAAGGGTATATTGAGCTTTCTTAAGGGTCGGCAACGCGCAAGTGATACCCCTGGTGTTTCAGGCGTTCATAGGCTACGGTAACCATTTACCATCAGATGGGCCGTATGCTTGATTGCCATCGTAGTATAAAAAAAAAAAACAATTTGCAATCAGTTCCAACATGTTGATGTTTTGCAGCTAGATAATAAAGCACAAGGATATTGTGCTTTATTAGATATTTATTAATATAATATAATAAATATAATAACGTCAGACGTTCAAATGCTATATTGTTGCGATACAATATAGTAACATTTGAGGCGATGGGGATTGTTAGTAATGTGGACTGATGATCGCTAGCACTGTACCACGTCAACTTGACATCCACATGGTCCCCCTGGAAATCATCGTGATAAAATCCTGGTGAAATTGCCACAAAGGGCTAACCTGAACTCATGCTCATCTTATTTATTTATTTATTTAAATAACTTTAATGCACGTCATACACAGGTAAAAAGTACATATGATGGACTTAACACCTAATGGCATTTTCTACCAGTCAACCATGAGTTGTGCATCTTATCATCCTGATCTCACTGATATTTTGCCATTTTCATCCATAAAAAATATACAGTAACATGTTTGTGCAGCCTTTTACAACACAACAAATCGAAACTAGCATCTTTGTATAAGAAAACAAACCGAACAGATTTGACACATTTTGTTTGTTTTCGGTGTGTCTAACAGTAAACTTATGTTTGTTCCCAACAGGTATGCAACTAGTCCAAAGAAACGGTAACATATTCTACATAAACGCACGCGCCGTAAATTTTTACGACGATCATTTCCAAGTGGAGGACTCGGACGGGGACAGTGTCGATTACGACTACGAGTTTTAATCGCGGACGGACGGACATTGTGATATATATATAAAACCAAATCGTGAAATATTTATTTTTAAATTATTTTCTAAGAGGCAATCTTTATAGCAGGTAATAGGAGAGTAAGAAAACGTAGTGATGACACCCCGCCTCAAGATCTTATATTGCACGGGAAAAGATTGAGAAAGACTATTGATATACCGAAATGGAGCGATTCAGAATCAAATAGTGACCCGTACGAAACTGATGGTTCTGATGACTGGCAGCCGTCGTCGACTAATGACACAGAGAGTCAATATACACAAGACATTGATGATTGAATTGTTATAATGAAACGTGAAATAAATTGTTGATTATACATTAGTTTTATTTAATTACTTGAGGCTTGTTCCGTATACAGGTATGTGCTCGGAATTGTGTTAGTTTTTTATATATTAGCACAACCAGACCCGGCCATGCGTTGCTGTGGCTAAGGTTCGTCGTAAGGTAAAATAATATTGCAACTATAAATTGAGGTGTAAGCTATCCTATCTTTTGTTGAATCAAATTGCACACAATGTCCAAATCAAATTTGCAATCTACTCCAATGGGGATAAACAACGTGATATGTAATTTATGTAATAATGCTAAAAAAATAATGTAATTTCACATGGTGAAAAATTTTCTGAAATCGGTTTTATGGTTCCCGATTTTGCTTTACGAAACAATGTACATATTTAAGAATACGCCTCAAATATCCATTATAGAGAGCTATACCGATATGTGAGGTGTATCATCATCACCATTACATATTATAAAACAAAGTCGCTGTCGCTGTCTGTCCGTCCCGATGTATGCTTAAATCTTTAAAACTACGCAACGGATTTTGAAGCGATTTTTTTAATAGATAGAGTGATTCTAGAGGAAGGTTTATATATATAATACATGTACACCCGGGCGAAGCCGGGGCGAGTAGCTAGTTTTTTATATTTTAATATTAGTATTTTTACTACATGTTTGTTGTGTAACACGTTTCATGAAAGTGCGTTAGCTTCACTTTTACTATTTATAAGTCAAAAATTGCTTCATAGATTTTTATAATCTTTGATTTGTTCGTGTCTCTTCCGTTCAGAATAGCACAACTACAAATATTAACGTAAAAAATATATGACTTCTAAATAGTAAATAATGACATCTAGAAAACGAATATTCTAAATTAAATACTCATTATTCAACATAATTATAATTTAATCTACACTTAATTATTAATTAGTAATATCCTTCATCATCAGACAGATGAGTGCTGTTGTCCCAGTCCTGCTGCAGTGTAGTCTGTGGTACTATATGGGTCAAGGGCGCCTCCCCACCTCGAACGTGCAATGCATAAACTGCCCCCTCAACCTTTGCCACATTGGCGCGGGTTACGTTTATTTTGCGGCACAATTCTTTGCCCATACTAAAAAGACCTGAAATGCAGACATTTTTATGTTTATTATTGTTTATTCTAAGATCTAAAATTATTAAGTATTAGCAGATTTTTAGGTGTACATAGGTTATGGTAACCGTTTACCACCAGTTGGGCTGTCATATGCTGATTTGTCACCATCATAGTACAAGAAAGACTAAAAGTTTTTTTTTATTGCATAATCAAGATAGTAAATTAAGATTTTCTATTTAGAGAGCTGAAAAAAAAAGTAAGTAATTTTAAATGTAATGTAAAAATAAATGTAAAACAATATTGTTCATTATGAAAGATTTTTATGATCAGTACAATAAGCTTCTAAACTAAGAAAAAAAAACTGTTATTGAACGATAAAATATACTTCTCAGAAAAGATTTGTCTGATATTTTTTGAATAGTTTATATTCCATACTTTTTTATATGCTACAATGGTGGCAAACAAGCATAGGACTCATCTGATGGTAAACAGTTCACTGTTACAATCAGGTAGCATATGGACACCTGAAACACCAGGGTTGTCACATTTGCATTGCCTAACCCACTGGTAAATGGCAACAAATGAGAGAAATATATGTCACATCATAGTATGGCAATTACAGCCTTAATGGCAATATAGGTACATCTATTTTTTAATTTCATGTTTAATATACATTAAGTAATTCAATTGAGTTTCTTACCAGTTCTTCTTAATTGGATCTATATACTGAATGGGATGGTAGGGAAAAAATTATAAAAAATTATGTTCATACCTGCCTAAAATTTCCTACATGAATAAATTATTTTTTTATTTGAATTATTTATATTATTAACCTGGGTTTTAACATGAATAATTTTATGGCAAATAAAGATATTCTTTTATTTACCATAAAATTATTCATATTAAGACTAGTTAATAATATAAATAATAGGTACATCTATATATTTATTCTAATTTACATATATGATGTCTAATACTATACCTAAATACCCAGTGTACAGATCTCTCACAACTTGGCAAACATGAACACATTCAGCGCTATCACCACTAGATATTGTGTTTATAGCTCGTCTCATCAGCTCCCCAGTCAGATCCGCTATACCCAACATATAATCACCATGTGGCATCATTGTCACAACTGTCCTTTCTGTCTCAATCCCATCAACTTCCTCGGTTATTTTGTATGTGAGTTCATTCTGTACATCTTCATATGGAATGATAACTTTCTTCTCCATTAATGAGCATAGTGTCCTAGCCTCAATGAACTCCTGGAAACCAGCTGTAACAGCTCTTGAATGTAAATATGCTGGACTGTTCTCCAGCTCTATACCAATGGCTTTTAGAGATCCATTGATCAGTTTTTTCAGTCTATCATTCGCATCTTCTACAGCTTTCTTTGTTGCTTCTTCACTGTTCCAAACAAATAAATTTACATAGATATTTTTTTAAACTGAAACATAAATATTTAGAATACATAATTGACATGTCTCCTTAATCAATATTTATACTCACATTGAGTGTGGCAGATTTAATCAGAACCTTCACCTTTCTTTTTATAATAATGATGGATTGTAAATGAACATTCTATTAAATTACTATTAAATATTAAAAACATAATTATGTTTGTGTACATACAAAAAGAGGGGAAGATGACATTAACAAGGTAGCAGGGAAAGTTTGTACTCAGAGTGCAAGGGACCGAACGCTATAGAAATACTTGGTGGAGGCCTATGTCACGTCATGAAAGACTGTTGACATTCAGATGTGGAGAATAAAATAAAAATAACAAACATAGACTAAGAGGACCACAGTTACTGCCTTAACTCTTTATTATGTTTGTGCAGATTTTAATCTATATAGCTGATCAAATGCCCGTTATCTGGGATACTATTTTTATACTACAATGAACTCACGTAATTGCAGAGTGCAGCAAAAAAATTATGCGTTTGCTCTCCATGGTTATATCTCGGGATAGTTTCACCAATCTCTCGTGTCGATCTTGGCGGTCATTTAATTTGCCAGCGGCGGCTCTGAACATGACCAACACCAAACTGTCCGGGGCGAGGGACGCGGCCGTCTCTCGCGCCACGGAGGATAAGGTTTGTTGGTTTCTGTTACGGTTACCGCGGTAATGTCTCCCTGTAAGTAACCATATAATGATTAAATAGCTTTTCGAAATAGAATATATAATAAATAAATAGCATGACTAATATTACTTGTGTATACTATAAAAATTTTATCTAAAAAATCTGACGGAATTGCGGGGAATAGGCAATAGTAAATAATTGCATATTATATATATTTACCTCGTCCTGACATGACTGCAAGATTTAGATATTAGTGAAAATTTAATTTAAGTCTGATCACAATAAACAATGATTTCTGTTATTGACTGCGATTTATACCAAATGTACTTTTTTCAATCGAGTTTTACAGATTATTGTTTTATGGCTACAGTCTGATCTGTGTGCGTAAGTTAGAAAATATTCTATATTTATTTATTATAAAAACAACATAATATGCCGAAATAGCAGTGCCAGAAAATTACACTAAAGGAGTAAACAAGGAATAAAATGTCATTGTCAAAGTGACATGCATCATAAAACTGATCATTCTCAAGTCATTCATGACTAACTTTATCTAATACTTAAAAATCAAGAAACATACAAACCAATTTATGAATATATTGTCTCCGCAGTAGAAGATATCTGAAGAAGGAAAAAAGAAATTAAAATACAGAAATTATACCAAAGACAACGGCTGTATGGGCTTAGATTCTTTGCCTTTCCATTAGGGATGAATATTACAAAAAAAAAAAAAGAGTTGGATGTATGGGTGCATTTCCCTTTGCCTTTCCTTTAAAGGATAAACAGAACCAAAAAAAAAATCTATCAGACTGATGTGGTCAGTATCAGAATTGTCAATTTGGTGAAAACATTCCTAAGGTTTGTTGTGTTTAGTTTCTATTTAAATTACATGGTTGTTATTCTTAGGACAAATTAGCAGTTTTATCTTTATATCTAACAGGATTATTTTAATTTTTAGATTCGCGTCGACTGACCAGAGTCCGCGAAATCCATGTAAATAGATCACAGTTGGTATTGATAAGCCGGGTGTGTCCTATATAAGAAAAGGTAATTTAGATATCATTTTACAAGATTGTATCTTAATAAAAGCTTTTTGTTCTTAATAAATTCGTTATTTTTTTAGGAAACGGAGAGAAAGGACAGAAAAAATGTCACAAACGCTAACTTTTGGTGACTCATGTGGCCCTATCACTTGTCATGCTTGGAACAAGGATAGAACGCGTAAGTTAATTATTTCTTATTAATTAAAAATACCATTTCAGGAAAACTTTGAGCACCTAACATTATGTGTGGTGTGTCTAAAATCAGTAAGTCTTTATGTACACTTGGTGCTTGGTTGGTGCATAGTTTTGTGTGCACAGTTTTGTGTGCACAAACTATATTGTGTTTCTAAATTATAATAGTTCTTTTATATTTAATTAGATGTATAATAAACCTGCGGCGCTGCCGCAAAAAAAAAATGGTCCAGTCTTTTTTCATTTATCTATTGCAAATAATGAAAATTTTTCTCTATAAAATATTGGTATATTAGATAAGAACTGTCAAAAGTATATAATAAATGTTTAAGTATAAGATAGACTTTTAATATTGCTCATTCTAATCTATACATATAAATAAAATTGGAGTGTCTGTTTGTAAAATTGAAATAGTCGTTTTTTTTTTACATGCATATGAATATAAATGGTACATACACCAAAATATCATTTTTTACTATTTTTGTCTGCCTATCTGTCAGTCTGTTTGTTCTGGCTAATCTCTAGAATGGTTGGACCGATTTGGACGGGACTTGTCTTGGCAGGTAGCTGATGTAATAAGGAGTAACTTAGGCTACTTTTATTTTAGAAAAATAAATTTAAACTCCATGTGGACGAAGTCATGGGAACAGCTAGTTAGATATATCTAGTCACCATTAACTTTATATAACTTACAAAAATCTCTGCTAAAACATGTTTCCTCCAACTTTTGCTGTTCTTTACCAAAATGTCTGTTTGTTATAATGTGGAGTATATTAAAATATGAGCTTCCTATATTATTTGCATTTGTAAATCTGCTCATTGTCTACAAAACTAAACTATCTGCTAGTCTATAAATAGTGATAAGTGAAGATCAAATTTCTAACATGAGTGTGAACATAGCATTTTATTAAATTTAAAATCACATTTCTATAGTTAACATGTCCCGAATCTATGATGATACTGAAAACAGTAGTGTAAAGATGGGTACAAAAAAATCTGGTTTTTAAATAAAATTATTATTAGTCTTAATATCACCGATTTAGAAATCTATGGAAGGCGCCGTAGAAGGGGCACACTGAAATAATAATGATATAATATACAAAAAATATATGTATGTATATATTATAGTTAAAATAATTGTAAATTTCAGAATAAAGGGCTTTATTATTATTATTATCTATACTCCATACATATAAATAAAATTGGAGTGTCTACTAATAACCGTTTTTTACTATGGTATAAATAGGGTACATACACCAAAATAACATTTTTTACAATTTTTGTCTGTCTGTCCGTCTGTTTGTTCCGGCTAATATCTGATATGGCTGGACCGATTTTGATGGGACTTTTTTTGGCAGGTAGCTTATGTAATAAAGAGAAACTTAGGCTGCTTTTATTTTAGAATAAATCTTTATTTTTGAAAAATAAAGTTAATTACCACGCAGACTAAGACACGGCAACAGCTAGTTCTTAATATCACTGTAGGGTGGTAGCAAAGATTCCTTTAAATATGATCTTATTCTTAATATTTGTTTTATTTTTTCAGAAATTGCATTTTCACCCAACAACAATGAAGTGCATATCTATGAAAAGGAAGGGAATGATTGGAAGCAAACAAACAACCTAGTCGAACATGACTTAAGAGTAATGGGAATTGATTGGGCACCAAACACCAATCGGATTGTGACATGCTCTGTGGATAGAAATGCTTACGTGTGGACCCAAGGACCAGATGGGAAGTGGTCAACGACCCTTGTGCTGTTACGTATAAACCGTGCTGCTACATGTGTGAAATGGTCACCCATGGAAAATAAGTTTGCTGTTGGCTCCGGAGCAAGACTTATATCAATTTGCTATTTTGAGAAAGAGAATAACTGGTGGGTTTCTAAGCATATCAAGAAGCCTATACGTTCAACTGTCACCTCTCTAGATTGGCATCCCAACAACATGTTGTTAGTAGCTGGTTCAGCTGATTTTAAAGTGCGTGTTTTCTCGGCGTACATCAAAGATATTGAAGACCAGCCTGGACCAAACGTTTGGGGCTCTAAACTGCCACTAGGCCAATTATTGGCCGAATTCCCAAATTCGCAATCAGGAGGTGGTTGGGTGCACAGTGTTTCTTTCTCTGCGGATGGAAATAAAGTTGCATGGGTGGGACATGACAGCTCTATTAATGTAGCTGATGCTACACAGGGCAAAGCTGTCATTAAACTGAAGACTGAATATCTGCCATTTTTGGGTTGCAATTGGATTACAAACAATGAAATTGTTGTGGCAGGGCATAGCTGCATTCCATTATTGTACTCTTATAACGAGAATGAAGTTAAGTTTGTTGCTAAATTAGACAACACTCAAAGGAAGGAGTCTGGAGGACTGTCTGCTATGAAGAAGTTTCAGTCGCTCGATCGCCAGGCTCGCATCGAAACTAATGATACTCTCTTGGACTCCATTCACCAGAATGCTATCACTCATATCAGTCTGTATAAAGGAACGAAGGCTAATACTGAAAAATTCAGTACTTCTGGCTTGGATGGACAGCTAGTCATTTGGGATATTGACTCTTTGGAGAGGAAATTGGAAGGGCTCAAGATATAATAAAAGGGCTCCAGTTAAATTAATAATTTTATTTAAGGATAATATAATTGGTTTGCGTGCGAGTTCTGAATTCACTCTTTTTTTATATAGACGTATTAACAGAAAAACGAAAAGCTGTGGAAATGATAACATTGCAATCACAGTCTGATCAGTCTAGCTAGAAATTAAACAAGCAAACACCTGTCGTATGAGTGATTTCAGCTCCTCAAATAGTAAAACCTCTCAAATATACAGAATAAACTATAATTTATAGAAATAACATCTATGTTTTTAATTATTATACAATTATAAATTTTAACTGATTGTAATAAAAGTAAATAAGTTATATAAATTAAATATACTACTACAGCCTATATATAATTATAGATCACTTTTAATACTACTGAAGTACTGATTGCTGTCAATATAACATTAAAATTTAAGGAATCAACGAATGTATTTTTATTTTTAACGTTAACATTCAAGTCATATCTTAACCTACAAAACTATAAGGCCATATTGTTTGTAAAGGAGAGTGCATTATTGCGTGTTGGAGACGATGTTGAATACTGGTCCGATGCGGATGAATACGCGGCGAAGTACGGAGCGTAACTCGGGCTTCAGGTCGAAGCAGGTGATCTCACACAGCAGGGGGTAGTAGCTGGACACGTGTGCCGCAAACTGTAGTGGGAACAATGATTACAATTAGTCTCGATATACTGTTTTTTATACAACTAAACTAGCAAACAAGCCCAGTGATGGTAAGTATATATTTTAACGAATTAGGTGTTATTTTGTGAAGGTTCCTTTCACTACTTAATGGATTTATATAACTACGCTACAATTAACATGTGTGGGACCACAAATATTTATTGCTGAAACTTTGGTTACTTGAAACTTCTGGTCGCAAAATAGTCAATGCTAAAAATTTTCTTCATAATATCTTTATTCATATAGGTCTATTACAGACTCTTATGATATGTCAAATCTACCGTCAGATCGGAATGATTTCGAGATAGAAGAACTGACAAGAAACTCAGCACGTATTCTATGTGTATGCTAGGCTTTCAAGCTATATAGGAAGTCTATTCAATGTCTGATGATACTTCGTTCGGAGGCGAGACGTGTCGCAATATAAACCAAATCCAACAGTTATTGACGGTCGGACTTTCGGCACTAAATATTTGTGGTCCCACACATGTTAATTGTAGCGAATTAAACAAAATAATTTAACAAGATAAAAATAAAGCCATATAGGTCTACTACAGGCATATTGCCAACCATTGTATATAAATACAATAGATGTTTTTTTGGTAATTGTTTTACGTATGTACGTGTGCATACATATTTATTTATTTATTAGCATACAAAACAGATTACAGTCAATATAATAATATAATTAGGAGCGTGTAGTTCGGTACAAAACTGGATTATAATCCAACACTATGTATGCCTAAGAGCTAAATTATATAGACGCATTTAATATACGCTAGATAAGGTTATATAATAAAAAGTAAACTAAATAGAAAATGATATATAACTACGTAATGCAATGAATTATCATGTTAACAGAATTTTATTTATATTAAAGAAAATAAAATTGGTACAATTAAATATAATTTGTCTCTTTACGGTGGAAATTTAATTGTCTCCGGAACTGGACCAGCGTTGAATGGAAAATATCTATATTTCTATTGGAGACAAGAATTTCATTGTATTGGCGACACATTCGAACTATTGGATTATAATAAGAAGTATTATTTGAGTAAACCTGAAGATAGAAGCTGTTATAATTATATGTTATATTATATATATGTTAAATGTACCAATGTCAAAATGTGTAAATGTATGTTCATATCAATAATAGTTGTCAATAAATGTTTTTGTCTGCTTTCTTCTTTCATAAAAGTACTCCATAATTTCACTGCCATAACTCACCTTGTAAAGTGAATACTGACTAAATAGGTTGGCGCCTGAAATACGTAATAGTGATACGACATAGATGACCACGCCAAATACCATATACACCATGGTGGACCTTTCCATGTCTACGAGCTCAGGGTCTCTTCTAATAAAGTCTTCAATCAAATACTACATAGCTCGTAGCTTAACTTTATATATCGAATATTTCGTTATCTATGTTAACTGGATCGTTATCATATGTGGTAATCTAGCACAGTACTCTAATGGACTACAGTACCAAGTTCATTCATATTATTATTACATTTAAGTATATTTCATTTTTCCGGACTACTGGAATGCTGTTGGCCGCAGCTGGCCATTCTAGCTTCACCGGACGATAGGGGGCGAGTACAGATGGCACTCCTAACCCGTGGGACATATGGAGCACCTGAAGGCCTCTGTTAAGGATGCATGCATGCATGTCTGTTTGTTCTGGCTAATCTCAGAAATGGCTGGACCGATTTTGACGGGACTTTTATTGGCAGGTGGCTGATATAATAAGGAGTTACTTAGGCTACTTTTATTTTAGAAAATAAAGTTGAATTCCACGCGGACGAAGTCGCGAGTACAACTATTCTTATATGTATATATATATAGTTGACTAGCAAACATTTTAATATGGATAAACAATGCTTTACTACCGTGTATTGGGGAGAAAGGGGATCGTAATGTAGATTGATGACTCCACTGCTGGTAATGTACCATGGCAGGTTACCCTTCATGCGGTTCCAAATGTAAACCATCTTGATAAATTCTTAATTCATTACGATACGCGAACAGATCTTATGTTCGTCTTATCATCCTATAATTGTGCACGGCCAGCGTAAACCGTTAGCGTAGGCGGGTGCACCATTCCATTATCGAATACAAAATATAAATCTTGGCAAAAACAAGTCAAAATGTGTTCTAAACGATAAAAAAATATAAATCTAGATTTATCATTGTTTAAATATATATGCAACTTTACAAATATAAAATTACTATAAAATCTATAAAACATTTTAAAAGATTTAGTTATACTTACTCTTTCGTCGGGCATCTTAAGTATTCTCGTGAGAATCAGCAGCAGGATCGACGTCCAAGCGTCTCTATGGGTTTCATTGGTAACGCCAGCGAAATATTCCAAGGCTTCGCAGCAGATATTTATTAAACTTTTTTGTACTGCAGGCCAGTGATCTCTACGGGCTTCGTCACTGTACATTTTGAATAGGATTCGCAAAACACAAGCTAAAGATTGCGTCTCTTGTTTCAGCATATTTGGTTTCACTGCTCCTTTAAAATTGGCTTTCCATAGAACATTTCTTTGGGCGTTGTTCGTATTGAATGTTTTAGCGAAGCGGTGACTGCACATTAAGCATTCGACAAGTCGCAGCAGATGAGGTGAGCTCAATAATCTGTACATGCCTTGCTCTTCACGTTGACATTCTTGTTCTGTACCTGGTGTGCCCCCAGTTAATTCTGCAGCAGCTAAAGCTAACGTTTCAGCGTCTTCTTTTCTCGATGTTGCCGGATAGAAGACAATATTGTCGATGGTTTGGATTAATTCGAGTTGTACCACACATTTTATTAGAAGACTGTTAAATACTCTGTTGGAGGTTTTAACATCATCCCCTGCTTGGGGTTTCTTCAGTATACCATGACGTATGTGTGGCGTTTCCCCGTCGTCACTTTCTTCTGGTTTCCAAGTAAGCAGCGTTGTTGGTAGCGTGCTGTTAAATATGTCTAACATAATCTGGCACGTATTACTCCACGTATCATCATTGAATTTTGTTCCATTTGAAATGACTAGATTTTCTAAACAATTTGTACCAGATCTCGCGAGTTGTTCGTTGTCTTGTTGCACACACCAGTGTAACTGTGAATAGAGTTGTTCGAGTAAGAGTGTACCAAGAACGTCAAAGTACTGCGTGAAGACATCAACGATTGCGTACAACGCGTGATTGCAAGTTGTAGTCATCCACTCGTTCTTTTCCAACTGATGCTCAGGTAGTTTCATATTGTCAAATATCCTAAAGAGAATATTGAATAAATCTCTCCACCAATGCGGACGGAATGAATCACCATGGGTTTTTATAATCTCAAATAAGACTGTCAGACCTCGAGTGCGAACGTCTAATTTGCAACGGCTTACGACGCATGACAATGAGAAGAGCAGCGGGAACCATCCTCTCAACCATACTCTGTCTACTTCAGGTGCGCCCGGTTCGCCTTCAAGGCCTGCATGCTCAGCAAATAACTGAGGAGAAGATCCAACGGCTGTGGCACAGGATCTCACTAACCTTATTGCTTCCATAGATGTATCAGGGAATTTGGCATTACAGGCAAATTCAGATAAACATTTCACTGCATCTTGGAATGAATCTATCATTGCAGAAAATTGTTTTTCATACAGTTCTGTTATAATCTTACCTGTGGTTTGGAATGCTAAGTCTACAATTGCTTCATCTTGATCACTTGCTGCCAAATGGAATACTGAAAAGATGTTTTTCCATCCTGATTTAATATTTGGTGCCTGTGAATTTACCATCTGTGCTATGCACCTTACCACCATATCTCTTATTGTTGGTGAGCTGTTCTTCTTCATAATATGTTCAAACGGCCTTAAGAAGTCTTTTTGGAATTTAAAGTTAGCAAACTCGCCTTTTTCTATAAATTTCATTGATAGTTGCCTCAAGGAGTCTACTGCAAAGAATGAAATGTCTTCATTTCCACTGCAACCTACTTTATTGAAATGGTCACCTAACACTTGCCAAATTCGAGACCATTGTAACCTAATTCGTCCCATGTTGTAATAAGATATTTCTACGATTTTCTGAAGTGAGAACATTCGTGGATTTGACGGATGGCTTAGTTCGTCAAGTGAAACTTGGCATAAAGCTCTGACAAAATCAACAATTGCATCACCATCAAGTCTCGTAGAGCCAGTAAAGATTCTGTCAACAGCAACTACAACACTTTGGGAACTTGTTTCTCCTATGTGCTCTTTTACACTAGGATCTAAAGTCATTAAGCTGAATTTTAGTGAATCTGGTTGTGGTTTTATACCAGATCCAGACAAAAATTGTGGTCGTACGCCAGTTCCAATGAGTTGAGCTAATTCCAATTGAGAAATGCATTTAACAACATCTAACCAACTCGATCCTAAGTAGTTGCCATCTGTATGTGCGACTGTTATTAATGTCTTTATTGTGTCAATATTCTTAGCTTTCATTTCTGTGATTGGAGAGTTAGCTGTAAGGAGAGTAAATCGTGCAAGTGCTTGTACATATGCATCTCTTTCTAACGACATGTGGAATATACATGCAATACGTATAGCACATCTTATTCCATCCAAGCACAATGAAGCTATTTCGGGATCGTCACAATCTTGTAAACCTACTGAAAATGCAGCAAGGAAAGGTGTCCATGCCATTTTAAACATGGGTCTTACATGTTCCACATGTTTAGCAGTAGTAAATGGTGTCTGAACATGAGATACAGACTCCATTAAATTCTTTGCAGCAGTAGATATTTGTTCCATTTCCATATTCCATATAAGTTTACGTTTCTTTTCATTAGCAATCATGTGTTTACCAGGTTTAGAAGTATTTTTCATTTTAATTTCATGCCCAGCAATTTCATCATAGATTTGAGACAAATACTCACGCGGCAGATCGTTATTGTCACTTATACCACTGTTCAATTTAATATACTGTTCTTTTGTCATTTTATTCTTTACTTGTGGGGAATGTAAATCTGTAGTTAACATTATAATAGAAAATGCTAGCACATAAACTGTGTCAGCACTACTGAATAAAGTGTTATTAGGATTGCATTCACAATAACGTGAAGCAAATTTTTCCATTAGTCTGTCAATTTTCTGTGCTTCACCAGGCAACCTGAATCCTTCTAAGAAATATCGTAGAGCGGCCACAATATCCATACTTGCGAAATTCATTGAATCAACATATGCATACATAACTTCTTTTGAATGATCGTCATTTTCTCCTAAATATTCACCGACGAATGTTTTATCAAGTCTTTCATCAGTTAGCAACCATTCTGCAATTTCCTTTGTGGATGTTCCTAATAGACTTTGCTCCTGCAAGAAAGCTACTCCTTTTTTAGGTTTTCTATTGAATAAATCAATGCCAGTTTCCCACACTTCTTTTTGCTGTTTTAGTACCTCAAACTGTTCAGGAGAATCTAATGTTTCTCTATTACCAATATTACTAGAACCAGTGGAAACCAGACTCAGGCTAGATCCTCCGTGAGACTTAATACTGTGGTGATCTGGGTCTTCTTTAGTAGTTCTCTCACCTAAAGTAGTTTGTAAGTTTGGATTGATGTAAAGTTCCTTGCTCCATTCAACCATGCATTTTAATATTGAAACCAAACATTCTAGTCCTCTAATTCTCATGGATTTTTCTTGATTAGGTGTAGCTCCCAATTCTAATGCTTGTCTTCCTTGTGCAATCTTAGAGACATCGTTCACCAATCTTTGAAATAGATTCGCAGCTGATAAGTCACAATCATAGTTAACATATATGTCAACAACACTTTGAGCATCACCACAAATTCTTGTGAGAGCTTGTATAACCATCCATTTATGTTCAAATGTGGAACTTGATGTTTCCAAAATGTTCATAAAAATTTCTTTGAAAAACACTTCAATCTGCTTTTTCAGGTGAACTTTAAAGTTTTGAAGCAGAGCTAGAAATATTGCCAGAGAAAGCTCAAACACTTCAGGCACTGAGCTCACACCATTTTTTGATAATGCAACACAAAGATACTGTTTAATAGCAGTTATGAACATCTCATTGTTTCTAAATACAGGACCTGCATTTTGCAGAATTGATAGGAGTAAATGCAATGACAGAATTTTAGATCTCAATTCATGTGACTTAGGATCAGGTGTGCCTTCAGGCAGAGGTTTCATGGATAACTTGCAGAGTGCTCTAAACACAAGGAATGCATCCTTTTGCAGAATGTGGGTAAATTTTGCTGTTACTGAATTATCATTCTCTGATGCAACGTCTACACTTTCTTGAGAAGGTATTCGCGTCATGGAAGATTCCGCACCAGCTTGGCCATTGCTTTCTTGGGATACACTTCCACTATCTTGTGAATCTGATGGATTCTCATTATTTTCAGGACTATTTTCACTAACATTATCTGCGGTTTTCTTGGAAGCGATAGTTATTGCATTGTCTATAACTGAATCCACTATTTGCTTAGCAATAATTTTAGCTTCCAAAATTTCATCAATTTGTTCTTGCTGTGGTGTAATATCTTTGTCCTCATCATTTATATGATTATTAGAGATAGGATTGCATTCATCATTTACAACACTACCATTGGGTATTTTATGTTGAACTTCTGTAATATTAGAATCAGAATCAGATTCCAAAGCTTGATTTTCCATTTTTGTAAAAATTACATTAAGCATTTGTGTTAGAGTGGCCCTAGCTGTTGTTTGGTTTATAAGATTTTTGCTGGCTAAATATATATTGTAACAAGTTCTAACAGCAAGCAGCACAGTCCCTTCATGCACCTCAACATGTTGGCTCGTTATTACCGTGAGGAGAGCTTTTATTATTTGTAGTTGGACTCCTTCATCAGTCTGTGGGCCAGTGAAGCAGCTACAGATGGTTTCAACAATACGGTCAATTAAAAGTTTTCTTGGAGTTGTTGAATCAGGAATATTGCCTGTTAGGTGACCATATGCAATAAGTTTTTGCAGACAATCTAAAGCTGTCACAACTATCCTGGATGCTTTGCTTTGGCATGCCAGTTCAAATGGCAGGAAATATTTTTCAGCAGTGATAACATTTGATGCATCAGTTTTGGGCAGTGGTAGGGTGCCCAATGATGGATTCTCAGATGGTTCTGGTTGACCTCCATTTTTCAATTCAGTTTTAATTTCCTCTGAAAAGAAAAATAAATTTTAATTAAAACCTGTACAATTTTTACTGAATTCACACTTAAGTGAACAAATAAGCTATTTAGGATTTATGTAAAACAATTAATCAATTAGAATATCTTTATTAATGTTGGTATATTGCAGACTCTTATGATATGTCAAATCTACCATTCGTTCACAAACTCAGCAGCTTTAAATGAGCTTGTTCATGATTATAAGTACCAGAATCCTTGTCCAACCTGGCAGACATAATGCCCAGCTGTGCTTCTTGCTAATCCATTGCTATAACTACTTTTGTATCCTGTGAAGGTATCCTTCACAGACTGATATAATTAATGTTACAAACCTTATATATACAAACTTCCCCATGAGGCTTACAAACATTTAACCAGATGTATTAAAACCCCAACAACCATTAGAAGAAAAAAAAGTAGTGATGTTTAATATAATAATGAATGTATTACAAGATCTTACATAATTTGTTGTAGTATGTAAATTGATGACCTTCACAAATAACATGCAAGATGAATGATAAAACTCAAACGAAAATGCATATATTAGCTATAAACAATACTGTAATAGCCCATAGTGTTACAATGAGACATTATCATGAGCTTAATTCATATTCCTCAGTTATTTATTATTTACAAGTCATTCCTGACAATTTGGGTTAAGATAACAGTCTGTAAATCGCAAGTTGTGGCTTTGAATAATCATGAAAATACCATACTGTAGGGTAATAAAATATCCTGTTACACAAGACACACTGTATAGGATAAAAATTACATTATAAAGCATTCAATACACATTTCGAAGTATACATCTTAGGTACAATCAGCTTATCATCTAATCACTCACACAGTACATCACATAGTATAGACGTCAGCATCATATATGTCTGGCCAAAGTATAAATATATATACATATAAATAAAATTGGAGTGTCAGTTTATAATATTGAAATAACAGTTTTTTTACTACATGCATAGGAATATAAATACAGTACACACACCAAAATAACATTTTTTGCAATTTTTGTCTGTCTGTCTGTTTCTTCTGGCTAACCTTTGAAATGGCTGGACCGATTTTGATGGGACTTTTTTTGACAGGGAGCTGATGTAATAAGGAGTAACTTAGGCACACAGCAGCAGCAAAAATAATACAAGGATTTGTGTCAAAATGTAGTATACCAACTCTGAACTCATTATGAAGCGAATTGACTACACATGTTTGTATTGTGTGAGTTTCAAGTTTGGTGGTACTTTATTATTTATGTATCAGATGGGCACTGGATGAGTTTACATGTATTTACATGGAAATCCTCACTAATTACATGCTTATAATATGATACCATTATGAGCTAATGTATGTGGTATGATTTTACGATTCTTGAGCAGTTTAAGAGTTAGGCAAGTCACACCATAGGCCATATAAAAATATTATATTTATTACATACAAGAAACTAATAAGTTTTAGAGTTACGTCATTATTAATAACAAAAATAAACCTTCCTTTTTTTAACCTAATATATATATATATATATATATAATATAATAAACTTCTTATTATATCAACTTAATAGTCTCTTGCCATGTAAGTATGAATGGCTAAGTAGGTAACACTAAGAAAATATTAATTTAAATTAGATCAAAATCAAATTAACAAAATGGGTACCAAATAAAGTTACCTAATTATGAATTTAGTGTTTTATCAGTATAATCAAGGTATGTGTCACTAAGTGCCTTAGAACTATGCAGTAATATGAATAACTAATTACTATGATAACGTAAAGTAGGTCTATAACCCTACACTTTCATTTCCAAGGTCAACTTACAATCACTTCTCAATATTTAATGCCAATAAGACAATTACCTTCAAATTGTACTGTGGATTTTGCTAATTAACTCTAATAAATACAAATACGACGTTATAAACAGAGATCGATACATATAACTATCGATACCAATATGATGTGAAATTATACATTCTTACCTAGAGCTACTTCGCAAGACTTTTTCAACTGACTGTGATAGGACCTTTTTATGTCCTTATCCGCCAATATCTTCTCTAGTGCTCGAACTATAAACATTTCTTTAGTTTTGAGATTGGTTTGCATCATTATTTTATATGGAAATTACTCCATTCGTTCCTCTTGGAATCGACTTCAACTGAGTGGTTTTATAAACATTTATGGCTATTTCTACAGGCACTACGCTGTTGTATTATTAAACGTTTATGACCGCTGAATAATGGCGCATAAGTAACATGACAAAACTTTATACAATCGAGCTTACTGATGATTTTATAATAAAAATAAAACCATTTTTGCGAGACGAAGATTTCACGATTCACACCTCATCACAAACATGTCAAATTGTCAATATATTAATGCGTTCATATTCGTGTCAAATATTATATGTAATTTTTATAAGACTTGTTGTCACTTTTAAATAACACTTAATTTGTATCAGATTATCTACGGATATGTCTCGATATATTATTGAAGTAGTGAAAAAAAATATTGCACCTAATTTAAAGTAATAAAAAATAAGATTACATTTTGTGCAAAGATATAAACATTTGATAATCTAAGAACAATGCTTTAAGGTCTTACTATACATTACTCTGTGCTATTACTGCTGTCATCTATCAAAGTCGAACAGCGTCAAAGAAATGGTCAAATTTCATTTTTATTAAACTGTTACCTACCTAACCTACCTCTATCAATACAATAATTATTTCTTAAATATTAGTTCCGATTATTGACTGAATTTAATATAATTCATCAAAAAGTTCTATGTATTTCTTGAATGCCGCTAAACGCGATAGTTGAAGAATAATTTACTTTATGTAGAAAGCGTTGTTAAACTTTTCATTTAGACTTTATTATTTACTCCAAAGTATTTATAATTGTTTTACAAAATTGCTTCCACAATGACAGTCACGCGGGTGGCGGAGTCCCGCACAGAATTTAAATTGAAGAGTCTTCCCGAGGACTGTATATCAAGTGTGAAATTTGCACCGAAATCGAGTCAGTTCCTCTTGGTTTCTTCATGGGACTCGACTGTAAGGTTATACGATGTCACGGCGAATGTAGAACGACATAAATATAGTCATGAATTACCAGTTCTTGATGTTTGCTTTCGGGTAGGTACAGAATTGTTTATTCAACGTTTTACCGTAGAATGTTGTATTTTTTTTTATAGAATATACATATTTGATGTGTACATAAATTTGTGAACGCTAGCTGAATGAGAGATTAGATCATGTTTTTTAACTACCAGAACTTGTTATAGCAGCCTCCTTTCTAAATTCCCCAATTTTAGACTTTTACGGTCCTATTACAAAAAATCTGTTAAAACTCGGACGAAACGTGGCCTAAATGGTCGTGGTTTAAACCATTCCTAATGTTAATACTTGGAATAAACCTAACATTATTACGAATCCAGATCTAACAGAGGACTACTTAGTACTACAGTTAAATCGTTCATTATGTATTCCATACAGAAATCAGTCACTCATGTCTGTCACCGTACAATTACGTTCCATTTTACCAGAAAACTGAAAAGATCAAAAATAATATTAGTTCAAAGAAAAATGTATAAACTAAAAATAAATTTATTTCTATTTATCTAGGTCTTCATTATAACTATTTCATTAATATATAATATTTATTAATGTACTATTAGGCTGAAAATCAGTTTTAAATTACAAGTAGGAGTCCTATACGGAGGAAAGGAACGGCGAGATATTTTTATTGGATCGTTCGAATGGTGACTATTTCAAAGTCAAATGAGTGAAAAAATAACAAATAACGTCTTTTTTATATTTTTATTGTCGTAAAATTTGCTTTAAATATTTTTAGTTAATGTATTTTTAATTTAGTTAAAATATTTTTCCAAAAACTACAACTTACAATAGAATTTTTAAAAAGGAGTTTGTATTTTTGCATTTAGACCACTGTTAAACTAGGGGCATCGCAGGTCTAACTTTAGACCATAGACGAATCACGATTTAGAGATAAACTTCATTTTGTAATAAGGAATACATTGGTGAATGGTTTATTACTAGTGCTAAACCAGGTTTATCTTTTTGTAATAAGGCCATTAGTGTTTACTAGTATTATCCTATAGCACACATTGCATGGTGATTGCAAAATGCCTATGAAACTCATTGGCTGATGTAGGTTTGTATAGCTAAAATAATTAGTAAAATCTGTGAAGAATTTTTATAAGTTTATCAATTTATAAATAAATATGCTAAGCATGAAATGCCTCTTCATTTCCTAAATAATAGATGTTACAATAATTGTTTCATATCTTTATAGTAATTATAATATTAATTTATCTATGTATGTTTGTAATTTTATATTCTTTATTGCATTTTGAAATACAGTAGTAAACTTCAGTATAGACGAAGTTAGGAACGGTGGATATCTCTAAAAGAGATCTCTACCAGTCAACCTAACAGTGAGGCATAGCTAGTAGTAAGTGGTTTGTTCTGCATCTAAACTTTTTAACTAAATGGAATGCTTACTACCTTATCTTGCACTTTATTTATTCTTAATTCATCTTCAGATCAACATTTATAGAATTTCAACCAATTACAGTAAATATTAAAAATTAATTTATTTATTTTAAAGAATAATAAAATTAAAGTTTATTTATTTATTTATATAACTTCAATGCACAAAATACAAAGGTATATATTAAATAATAGAAGTACATGACATGTAGCACCCCATAGGGGTATGCAAATATTGAAATGAAATCATAATTAAATTAATATAAAATGCCCTTACATTTATAAATGTCACTATCCTACAAATACATGCATTTTAATAAATTTTAATATTTTTATATGGCGGACTTAACACCTTTTGCATTTGCTACCAGGTAACCATAGGTTGAGCAGAGAAAAGTTGTAGGTGGTGCAAAAAACTAATTTATACTTCAACATACTTCCAGGATGCTGTCCATTCGTACAGTGGTGGCCTGGACCAAACCCTAAAATTGTATGATCTCAATGCCAGCACTGAAACGGTACTCGGTGAACATAAAGGAGCAATCCGCTGCGTTGAGTTTGCAAATGAAGTTAATGCGGTTCTCACAGGTAGCTGGGATGGCACGGTCAAGATGTGGGATAGCCGAGTGCCCAATTGTGTTGGGACTTACAACCAAGGAAATGAAAGGGTAACAAATAATTTTTACAGAATAAATACTTTACATACCTGTAATATCAGGCTTGTACCCAGATCTGAAGAGCCCTTTAAACTTACACCTAGGTCAGAAGACCAGGGTAATGATCGAAGTTTCCCTCTCTGATAAACATATCAGAGAGGAAAACTTCGCCGTTAGCAGTATGATTAGGGGCTTTATTTATATGCCAGTTTTGGTTGTATATAAGTAGTTTATTAAAATAAAAGTAAATTTCGAACATATATAATTGTATAGACAGGGTATAAAAAATTAGTGATCAGAAGTACAATAGTTGAAGAATGTCTTTAGAAGAAGTCATTTTGTAGATAGTATTTTCCGCGCAAACGCAACGCGCCACAGATTCAAAAATATACGGACAGCGCGCAGCCGCAGTAAGAGGATGAGCCCATTATGGCAGTATGCGCGATGTTAATACTATGAGTATTAACAGATATGATGTATCCGAAAGCAGCACTGTGAATCTATAGAATTTTAAGTAGTTCATCTTACTAATCATGACACATCCTATTTATGCTTACAGGTCTGCTCAATATAGTTTTATTGAGTATTATTATATTAATATATTGACCAGGTGGTTTGGTATGAATGAATGAATGAATGAATGAAACTCTTTATTGTTCCTCTCACAGAAAATACAATTACATATACAATTATGTATAAAATGATAAAAAAAATATATAATACAATAAACAAGACAAAGAGGTAACAATGGGCGGCCTTATCACTAAAAAGCGATGGTATATGGTGTATTAGAAATGCATTAGAATGACAACTGTTCTATTTCTATAATATTTACTGATTCTGTGTAGTCTTCATGCAATCAGTGAAAATTAAGAATGTTTGCTAACTCTTTGTTTTGAATATGGCTGTAAAAATAAAAGAGACAATGGCAGTTTATACATAAGCATGTATGTTAAGTTTATTTGAATAGTGTTTTAAATTTGATGCAGTCATTATTTATACCTATAATTAGTAAATCCGGGGTATTACCATGTTTTATTTATATTGAGTTCCCGATATTTCGGCAGTGTTTCAACCACCATGAAATAACTCTTCTATGGACAGACATATTCATCTACCTTCACATGTCTTTATTTGTTGCTACAGAACAATTTACTAGGCAACTGATACAAATACATATATGTATACATTTTTTGTAAATACATACATAATATACATAGAAATCGCCCAGACATAAAAACAGTCATAGTCATAAATACAAATGTTTATACCGTGTCAGGAATTGACCCGCGACCATCGGAAGTAAAGCGGTGTGCTAGACCGCTACGCCACCGAGGTTAAATGAAAAAACATTTAGTAATGAACTATAAAAGATGTTAATCATTATTTATTTTAATCATAGGTGTACACTATGAGTATAGTTGGCGAGAAGTTCGTAGTGGGCACATCAGGTCGTAAGATCTTTGTATGGGACGTACGTAACATGGGACACGTAAACCAGCGGCGGGAGTCATCCCTCAAATATCAGACACGTTGCATCCGTGTGTTCCCCAACAAGCAGGGATATGTACTGAGCTCAATAGAGGGCCGAGTGGCTGTTGAATACCTCGACAGCAATCCGGAAGTCCAAAAGAAGAAGTACGCCTTCAAATGTCATAGGATTAAAGACGGTGGTACGTATAATTTACCCTTTTTTTCGGAGTTTTTTTATTATTAACTCCATAATCATAAACCCCATTTATTGCACCTATTATACATAAGTCTTATTATATTTTATAATAATAAAATTGCACAATTCACACAGCGTCATCTAGCTATACAGAGCTTGTGTTATGGGTACTAGATAACTGATGGATATACTTAGATGCATTTTGTTTTATATACATAAAACTTGAAAAATTGAACCCCCACCATCGTAAGTAAAGCGGTGTTCTAAATAACTAGACTACTGAGACCGTGGAAAGTTGTTTGTGTAGGTTCTGCTCAGATATTTTATAACATCTTCATTTAATATTTCCGTCGTCGCAACAGTTGGGAGAGGAACACGTAAGTGTTGAGGTTCGTAGCCCCTGTAAACCTACACCCAGGTTATAAGTCTATAGTTGGGAACTATTCGGACTTTCCTTCTCTGCCATACGATGGATCCGGTACATGCACAGTGAATCCATAGAATGATAAGAAGTTTATTTCTCTTGGCTCTGATTTGGAGTGGGTTGTCTGGTTCCAAGACAGGAATTTACCTGTATACTGTAATAGATTTCATTTGCATTTCAATTCTAGGTATGGAATAAAATATAAAACGAATCGTGATATACTTATTTTTGCGAGTAGATTGTCTGGTTGCAAGACAGGAATTCACTATGCTGTATACTTTAAAATGTTCTAGTGGCCTAATAAATTAGATATTTGCACCGCCTATAATTTTTCTCTGCACAACCTATGGTTGCCTGGTAGTAAATGCCATAAGGCGTTAATGGTAGACCCATATAAAAATATTAAAATTTATTAAAAAATTAAATATTAAAATGGTATTTAGTAGTAGGATATATGGTAGGATAGTGACATTTATAAATTTAAGGGCTTTTTATATTAATTTAATTTTGAATTCATTTGCATCTCATATCTATGGAATAAAGAGGATAAAAAAAAAGAAAGAATATATACTTTGTTTTTAATTTCAGGTTTGGAAAAGATCTACCCAGTGAACGCTATAAGTTTCCACTCCGTATACAATACATTTGCGACGGGAGGATCCGATGGCTACGTCAACATTTGGGACGGCTTCAACAAGAAACGGCTCTGTCAGTTCCACAGATACAACACCGCTGTATCGTCCCTCAGCTTCTCTCACGATGGGTCAGCACTCGCGATTGCATGTTCGCAACTTGATGAGACTCAGGTAGAAGAACCGAAGCCGGAAGACACTATTTATATAAGATATGTGACTGATCAGGAAACTAAACCAAAATGAGAAGTACACTCCTCAGTATAGTCTGTTTTTTAATCTCCGAGACTATGACAGGTGTCAATGTCAAATTTTCAAACAATGTTACCAACGGTAGCGGGGTAGTGCTGTACCTGCAATACCGATCTGTTTAATCGTATTTTTTTGTTTAGAATATTAGTTTAAAAGCTTTAGACGTGTATCCACAACATATTTTCAAAATTTACGTTTGTAAACTAGTGTTTCCATTATTGTATTATACAACATAAAATATGTTTTTGTTTCTGTACACATAATAATTTTTAAATAGCTAAATATTTTAAATAGATGTATGTTTTATGAAATATGACACCATACGAAGGTCATTTATTTTATAAAAGAGGTTAGCCTTTGATTTCGTGTAATATATGAAAATAAAAAAATCAATTTTGATACAACAACCCTAAATTTATCAATACCTATACTTATTTTGTGTTAATGTGTTTAAAAAAAAACCCACACATTCATTCTGAGTAAATTATAAAAATGGGTAATTATATTAATTTCCGAAGTCCTACAACCCTATTTAAACATTGTAAAATGCTGGCAACATAGTTATTTTGTGTAATATGTAAAAATGTAATGTAATTAATATTGTGTATGTCATATTTGTCTCCGAGATAAAAAAACAGACTATAGGCAATATTGTTTGACTATTTGATATGATGATTGTGATAGTTCTTTGTCTACGGGAATGGCATTCTGACGATCCACCTGATGGAAAGTGGTAACCTTGTGGGCATTCCTGTGGATGAATGTGTTATTTCTCTATAGCCTATAATTAATATTATTATATAGTCTATTCTGCCGTGATTATGTTCTGAAATAAATCAATTCTAGATTTGATTATCATTCCTCAATCGCAAAAGAAAGATTGTTAACTACTGTACTGTGCAGTTGCTGTTTCAGAGTATATTTTACTAGTGTATAGTTTTTTAAAGTAACAAATCAGTTTATATTATATAATAAACAATTATATTGTATCACATCATCTTTGAAATATAAAAAATACGAATAATTGACGGCGTTGGTGATCTAGCCGTTTAGCACACCGCCTTACATCCGATGGTCGTAGGTTCGTATCCTCGCACAGTACAAAAATTTGTATTTATAAGTATCATAGTTTGTATCAGTAAGGGTGTTTTCTATGTGAATTATGTACGTATTTACAAATAATAATGTTTTTATGTATTTGTATCAGTTGTCTAGTACCCATAACACAAGTTCTGCTTAGCTTGGCACTAGATGGCGTAGTGTAATTTGTCCTGCGTTCTTATTATTATTAATTTATAGGTTATACACCTGAATCTTGACTTCTATATCTGTATCATCAAATAGTCAAAATAATTGTGCCTATTGAGTGTGTGAATGATATGACTTGTTCTCTAATAATAAGTAATTAGATCTAAGTAAATTGATACAATAACAAAATATTAAGTCTTTCCGAATGTTTTTTTTGTCCTGAAGTAATTTTGCAATAATAATAATAATGATAATTTTTAATGATACCAATTTTACAAGTTTAGATAAATATGTAAATATTCACATGATTACCACATATTATAAGAAATTAGTTATGTGGTAAGTTTTACAAAAGTACTCCAATAGGCCAGTGCTATTGAGTAAAAACAATATATGTATCAATACTAGGGGCCTCACTGGACACTGCAAATTGAATTAATAATTAGGTAAACATGTGCAGTGGCGGATCTACCTAATGGCTTTTTGAGCTGCACCCCAGGGCCCCGAGGATACAAAAAGCCCCCAGTCCCCACTGAAACGATATTTAGAATATAAAAAAAAAAATCTTGAATAAGGTTATCATAAGGTTGATAAGCCAAAGTTCAATCAACCTATGCAAGTGCGCGTCTATGGAAAGGAACGGGGAATTTTTGGTCGCTTGTTTTTGGTCCGTGTATTTTTTTAGTTGAGTAATACAATTAGGTAGGCCCGTAAGTAGATTTAGCCCACCGCCTCACAAATCCGCCCCTGGGCATGTGCACAACAAAAATCTGCAGATTTTGCTAAGCTGAAGAAGAAACGCTCTACACATCCTATATAGTTGTAGCCTACTCTGTATAAACGAAATATCTCCTTTGAAAAGGTTACACTCTATCTCGAGGTAATAAAATCTCTTAACTCTTGTCCATGACGCGTTAACTAGCGAATTTTCAAAATGAACGATCACAATAGATCTATGTAGGACGCAGTGTTACATGTCTAAATACTTGATAATAGCCGAAACTCCACGATAAAAAAAATAGTATGGCTTTTTTAATCACCATAAAGTACAAATATACAGCGCCTAAAAACGTGAAACGCAACAGTTTACGCGCTAGTACATTTGCGAGCATCTTACAAAGTATTCTTTGACCATTTGAATGTAAAAGATTTTCATACAAGATGTGATGGTTGCTTATATACAAACGAGTAAACAAAACTCATCCAGTCATGAAATACTCCAGTGCGTAGGTATCCATTAAAACTTGCTTTCTAAATGTTTCAAATTAACACGTTCGCGAATACACGCGTAAGCATTTGCACTGTACTCTGCAATTAAATCGACAAAACATTTCAGTTCGTTCCAGTACTTAAAAACGAACCTTCGTTTTAACGAATAAAGTGTATTTTCCCTTGTTGATCTGTTTGCGTGTGTTTGAGCAAATGAAAGAGCTCGCTCGTCCAAATCGGTGTTCAAACAAAACTAATATTTGCGACCACCTATAGCTTTCTGAGGCTTATGAACGCCTGGTACCTACGGCCTACGAAGTAAGTGCGAGATGTTTGCAAACGCCATTTTCCGCACCAGTAGTAATTATTCTAGTATTAGGTAGCGCAGCTGCTAATTGAGGAAGCAATTCCAGCTAATATAACGGAAACCAATATTCTGTTTGTCTGAACATTAGTCTGTATAAATAACTGTAATGTTCATGAACCATAAAAGTTTATTTTTAATAGAACAAATAAGTAGGTAATAAAGTAGATGTGTATTGTAGAGGGACTTAACTATAGAATACAAGCTAGTTTAGTAGGTAAAGTATTTTATGGACTTCTGAAACACAAATATATTCCACAGATGCCTGGGATTTCATATATGATTTGTGCAAAATACATATGTGTGTAATATATGTATGTGAATTTATTTATGCAACTGAAATGGCAAATATGCTGATGGTCATTGGCAACCGTGGCCAGTGCCACTGATATCACGTCATAATGCGATACCCAATACCCACTGTTTGCTGCCATCCTAGAGGAATATACACTTTACTCTGTAATTTCTTGCTATATTTCGCCATCCAACGAAACAGCTTACACTACAGATCAAGTGGCTTAGAGGCAGAAATAGCCGCGCTATCTACTCTCTACTTTCTCTATGCACACAAAGGTAGTCTGGAAGAAATTGCTTAGCGATAAGACCGCCGTTTGTATCAGTTAAGTTTCTTTCTTTTTAATTAATACTATTTTAATTTAAAATAATAACGACAGGAAGTAAGAAAAATATATTTATTTGTCGAATACAAAACATTTATATCAAACATTAATTATTAAATAATTATTCTCTTTATTTGGCGCAATACAGAGTATAAGTACATAGAATAACTACTGAGAATGTATAAGAAAACCACGCAGACAATTAAAAAAAATCTAATTCTAGTATAATTTGCAATACTGGATCTGTGTTGCGCTATATACTCTAATTAATTAATAAGTAATGCCGTTAATACATTTTCATGTTCGGGTGATAGACATAGACACCTATATAAATACCTATGCATTGTAAATAACTGGATTTAAAAAAAAAAGTAATTCAATTGAGTTTCTTGCCAGTTCTTCTCAATTGGATCTATATACCGAACTGGACGGTAGGGAAAAAATTCTAAAGTAAAAACTTGACGTTCATAAGCGGCTAAAATGTCCTACATGAATAAATGATTTTTGAATTTTGAATTTTGTTGTTTATAGTAAATTATGTGTGTTGGTCAAATAGATCAAATAGATTTTTTAATTAGTAGAAGAGCAAATAGTCTCTCTGTAACTTTTCTGGCTTGTATTTAACGAGGTATGAAAATCTATGCATCAACATACACATGGACAGAAACCAATGCAACTCGGTTCTTTTTGTTTTAGCCGAAAATACCTATTGTGAAGATAGGTACCAATTATCGGTCAACTGCAAACAATTTTAAATACGTGGAGTACATTAAGCATTTGTACAAATTGAAAATCAGAGGCTTTATATCATGGAAAATATAATTATATAATTTTAGGTTATAATTTCGAAGAATCTACTTTAATTTAGATAATTAAATTAAAAGTCTATTAAATTATATTAAGAAATGTTAGTATAAATATAGATATGTAGTTAGACAGGAAACTGTTATCATTTCGGCTGTATCTGTACGTATTCTGTAGTGTGGAGTAGAAACTATTATTTAATCTGTGCTAGAGATAGCCGCGTGGGCGGGCGACCTGTGCTTCGATTGCGGATGCCACGGGTCACGGGAATTTACGGGATGTTTCTGCTGTTTCTTACGTATAAATACAAGTACTACATAAATAGACTTCAATACTTAATATTGAGAAATTCTACATTTAATGATGTACCTATTAATTTAACTCGACAATTATACAAAATAAAAACAGCTATATTATAGTAATATCTAAGTACATATTCATATATGTATGTAGTGGGTATTTGTGTAATATAACTTACTTTATGAGAAGTCTCTTTGATTTTTTTTATATAGGTAAAACGATTTGTTAAATGACCTCGGTGTTTGATATTGGGAAAGCCGCGGTTGTTAGTAAGAAATTTTTATATTTGTATTTTGGACTGTATTTTTATAGCTTTTATATCTGTAGCTGAGATGAAGGAATTAAAATGGCCGAACACTGTTAAATGGATAGAGTTTTTTTAGCAACAAAAACAAACTCTAACCCCTGGCTCGCAGTTCTCTTGATAGTCCGCAATCAATGAAGTTTAACTTCCTTATTAGCTGCATTTGCGCGATTTAGTGCGGAATAGCTTGCGCGCGCAGTCATGAGGGATTGCATTTATCTATTTTTTTTATACTTCACTTAAAATTTATTAATTTTATTTCCAGAGACAAATTAAGATCTATAAATTATTATAAATTCTATAATTAGGTTTTTGTTCCATAGTTAGATTTCTGAAATTTGCAATAATAATTGATATTTTGTTCCATAGTCAGACGTCCGCCATTTGCAATTATAATTATTTAAAAATGGCGCTAAGGCGCTCACGATTGAAAATACGGGAATGCGGGCAGCGCGTGCGGTCTTTCTTTCTCTTTGTCTATATTTACATGAACGTCCTTTCCACAATAAAAGCCTATTCGCGCGTAAAAGAGTGTATGTGTAAAGGCAGTTATTAATCAGTGTATAATAAAATCTAAAGTTATAACTGTACTGCTGTCACTTGTTTTTTTTTTTAAACTACTACAGTCATTGTTTAACACGTAGACCAACACGGATGGCCCTATCCGCAGTTACCGGTGTTCCACCTCGGCATTTTATTGTGGCTCAATTTATTTCGTATTAGCACTTGACTATATGTTTGTATTTCCCACACATCTCGGGAAGCACAATAACTTTATTACAGATCGCCTCTATTAAATGAATATTAGAGTGGTAGTGTCACCTGTGAATTTAGAATTGATAAAATTAGGGATGTGATATTTTGTACAAAAATCGAATATTAATTAATCGATTGCTTTTGTTAGCAGTATAATCGATAAAAATATTTAATTAAAAGAACAGATTTTTGGGCCTCTTGGTCTGAGCATGTTTATTTTCTTTGATGTTAAATAATTAATTTATTTTATTTATACACTTTATTGTATAAGATGCAGAAAAGTATCAATTAGAACAAAGGCTCTTGGTTTTGGTCAAACGAAAAACTCGTCTCTAAAAAGTAATCGACTTTTTGAAATAT